TGCAGAGGGGTCAAATACTTATTTCCCTCATTAAAATGCAAATCAATTTATAACATTTTTGACATGCATTTTTCTGGACTGTTTTGTTGTTATTCTGTTCAAATAAACCTACCATCAAAATTATAGACTGATCTAGTCTTTGTCCGTGGGCAAACGTACAAAATCAGCAAGGGATCAAATACTTAATTCCCTCACTGTATATACAGTGGGGAGAACAAGTATTTGATACACTGCAGATTTTGCAGGTTTTCCTACTTACAAAGCATGTAGAGGTCTGTAATTTTTATCATAGGTACACTTCAACTGTGAGAGACAGAATCTAAAACAAAAATCCAGAAAATCACATTGTATGATTGTTAAGTAAATAATTTGCATTTTATTGCATAACATAAGTATTTGATCACCTACCAACCAGTAAGAATTCCGGCTCTCACAGACCTGTTAGTTTTTCTTTAAGAAGCCCTCCTGTTTTCCACTCATTACCTGTATTAACTGCACCTGTTTGAACTCATTACCTGTATAAAAGACACCTGTCCAAACACTCAATCAAACAGACTCCAACCTCTCCACAATGGCCAAGACCAGAGAGCTGTGTAAGGACATCAGGGATAAAATTGTAGACCTGCACAAGGCTGGGATGGGCTACAGGACAATAGGCAAGCAGCTTGGTGAGAAGGCAACAACTGTTGGTGCAATTATTAGAAAATGGAAGAAGTTCAAGATGACGGTCAATCACCCTCGGTCTGGGGCCCCATGCAAGATCTCACCTCGTGGGCCATCAATGATCATGAGGAAGGTGAGGGATCAGCCCAGAACTACACGGCAGGACCTGGTCAATTACCTGAAGAGAGCTGGGACCACAGTCTCAAAGAAAACCATTAGTAACACACTACGCCGTCATGGATTAAAATCCTGCAGCGCACGCAAGGTCCCCCTGCTCAAGCCAGCGCATGTCCAGGCCCGTCTGAAGTTTGCCAATGACCATCTGGATGATCCAGAGGAGGAATGGGAGAAGGTCATGTGGTCTGATGAGACAAAAATATAGCTTTTTGGTCTAATCTCCACTCGCCGTGTTTGGAGGAAGAAGAAGGATGAGTACAACCCCAAGAACACCATCCCAACCGTGAAGCATGGAGGTGGAAACATCATTCTTTGGGGATGCTTTTCTGCAAAGGGGACAGGACAACTGCACCGTATTAAGGGGAGGATGGATGGGGCCATGTATCGTGAGATCTTGGCCAACAACCTCCTTCCCTCAGTAAGAGCATTGAAGATGGGTCGTGGCTGGGTCTTCCAGCATGACAACGACCCGAAACACACAGCCAGGGCAACTAAGGAGTGGCTCCGTAAGAAGCATCTCAAGGTCCTGGAGTGGCCTAGCCAGTCTCCAGACCTGAACCCAATAGAACATCTTTGGAGGGAGCTGAAAGTCCGTATTGCCCAGCGACAGCCCCGAAACCTGAAGGATCTGGAGAAAGTCTGTATGGAGGAGTGGGCCAAAATCCCTGCTGCAGTGTGTGCAAACCTGGTCAAGACCTACAGGAAACGTATGATCTCTGTAATTGCAAACAAAGGTTTCTGTACCAAATATTAAGCTCTGCTTTTCTGATGTATCAAATACTTATGTCATGCAATAAAATGCAAATTAATTACTTAAAAATCATACAATGTGATCTTCTGGATTTTTGTTTTAGATTCCGTCTCTCACAGTTGAAGTGTACCTATGATAAAAATTACAGACCTCTACATGCTTTGTAAGTAGGAAAACCTGCAAAATCGGCAGTGTATCAAATACTTGTTCTCCCCACTGTATCTATATATATATATATATATATATATATATATATATATATAAGAGCGTTGGGCCATTAACCGAAAGGTCACTGGTTTGAATCCCAGAGCCAACCTTTGAAAAATCTGTCTGTGCCCTTGAGCAAGGCACTTAACTCTAATTTCTCATGTAATAAGAGCGTCTGCTAAATGACTAAAATGTCACACAAAAATAATTCATAGGCTATGTGTTAGTTATAGAGACCTATTTTGGGATGGTTTGTAGGTGTGTGGAGTTATAGTAGGCGAGTATAGTAGGCTAGAGTGAGCACTATAAGCCATATGTGTTTTTAAGCTCGTTCTTTTTTTGTGATCTATTGTTTTTAGTAAGGTACACAAAACAAGTACACCAAGAAACAAGCAAATTCAAACTGTTTCCAGGCTGGAGTCACAATAATGATATTGCCGAGAACTTTTATAATTCCATGAACCCTCTTTCACCAATCAGGATACTGGGATAGGCTACATACTTTACTTGTATTTGGAAGAGAAAATACCATAGTATTCAATTCTCTCCACTTCAGCGTGAAAAATGTGCAGGTGTCCAAAACGTCTGAAATGTCTAAATATTTGACCTTTCATTTTATGACCTCTGTATTAATGGTTAAATCCTCATACAGCTGTATGTTGGCGCCTCCTGGAGGCCGTTCTTTTGCCTCGAGGGGTAAACATTTTAACTCAAAAGAGCTGTGGAGATGTTTTAAGATTGCTTGCGTTCTGTTCTAATGTATTTGCCATCTGCTTGTAGGTGTTGGAGGGGGGTGGTGTTTTGGACAGTCCACAGATGAAGCTGAGCCCTGAGGGCCCATCTCCAGGTGGTTCATCACCCCTTGATTCATCATCTCCCCAGCCTGGTTCATCACCTCATCACAAAAACATTTGTCACTGTCCCAATACCTTTGGAGCTCACTGTAGGCTACCTATATGAATGTAACTGCAGTTTACTGTGGAACAGTGGAATTATTGATCCGATAGACACATACTGGTAGGCCTATTGGTGGGGATTGGGGTCTTACCCTCAGAAATATAAGTGCTTTGCGTCTGAGAAGAAAAAAAGCACTCCATAAATGCAAATCATTAGTCAATCATTACTCATTGGATGAGTTTTGGGAAATGATGACCTATGTGTACTCTGACTTGTTTACAATAGCCTTGTCTGTCAATTTACTGGACATTACTTCTTGTTTGCCTTAAAGGGGAACGCCAAAGACAAGTTACTTTTACTTATCTATGTTGTTTTGACGTAGCAGGATGACTTATAGCCTATGATAATGTAAGATGATATACACTGAACACAAATATAAACACAACATGTAAAGTGTTGGTTTCATGAGCTGAAATCAAATATCCCAGAAATGTTCCATACACACAAAAAGCTTATTTCTCTCAAATGTTGTGCACAAATTTGTTTACATCCCTGTTAGTGAGCATGTCTCCTTTGCCAAGATAATCCATCCACCTGACAGGTGTGGCATATCAAAAAGCTGATTAAACAGCATGATTATTACACAGGTGCACCTTGTGCTGGGGACAATAAAATGCCACTCTAAAATGTGCAGTTTTGTCACACAACACAATGCCACAGATGTCTCAAGTTTTGAGGGTGTGTGCAATTGGCATGGGGACTGCAGGAATGTCCACCAGAACTGTTGCCAGATAATTTAATGTTAATTTCTCTAACATGGCCTTACAACCGCAGACCATGTTGGCGTCATGTGGGCGAGTGGTTTGCTAATGTCAACGTTGTGAACAGAGTGCCCCATGGTGGCGGTGGGGTTATGGTATGGGTAGGCATAAGCTACGGTCAACGAACACAATTGCATTTTATCGATGGCAATTTTAATGCACAGAAATACAGAGATGAGATCCTGAGGCCCGTTTCTTTTCATTTCCAGTTGTGAAATCCATAGATTAGGGCCTAATTTATTTATTTCAATTGACTGATTTCCTCAGATGAACTGTAACTCTTTGAAATTGTTGCATGTTGCGTTTATATGTTTGTTCAGTGTAATAGTGACCTTGAGCTGTCCTGACATAGAATAGGGGTGTGCTATGTGCAGATGTAAACTCTGTGTGAAATCATCCAGCCAAAGCCCTTGTAATATCTGTGGAGGAGTTAAGGCAGTTCCCTTCGCTGTTGCAAAACTGTAAACCACAGTAACCTCCAATAGTCTGGTCAATCTTTCCAACTTAATAACTATGATTGTCCTCTAGTCACAGTTGCAGTTGTGTCATACTGTGTCAGAAGTTTGAGAGAGAGAGAATACTTGATCAACCGTATCTCAGACTGAATTTAGAGATGATTAACATCATGAAATGGTTACAGGAATTACCCACATACAGATCCAGAGAAAAGGCTACCTTTACTTACTTGAATGCCCACTGTTAATATAATACAATTAATAGATCATTCTATTAGTTAGTCACAGGCTCAATATAAAAATGTTTGTGAGTGTGTGTTTGATTTTATTTTATTTGTCTTGAGGTTAACCAGTGACAGAGTGCTTTTTTTTGTGTCATGCTTTCACCCTTATCCTTCCTACCATCTGTGTATAAATATACACTCTTTTGCAGATTGTTTTACTTTTGGACCTGTGATTCACCATGGGTTTTTCTGTTTGCTGGAGTATGTGGGCAGCGCTGCTTTTATGTCCTCTCTATATGGGTAAGTGTCTTGACATGGCTTTTACATTCAAACTGCTGTTGTCTTTAGTTACCTTTTAGAAACCTTTGTCGCGCATTTTTCCAAATTGTCCTGTATTCTGGATGATATAACACGGGCTGGAAAAATGAAATACATATACTCGAAATAAATATAGACAAGAAGGATTTTTTAACCACGTGCTATATTTGATCGAATTTACCGTCAATACTTTTTAACTGGGTATTATTCAAAGTGGGATTTTACATTTGGGGTGATCATATTACAATTATTGAATATCATAATGATCAACGTCAATGATTATTGTGGTAGTAGAATCCATATGGGTACAGACACACGCACACACACATCTTCAGCTTTGACTCCATCCATTAGGCTTCTGTATACTATGAAGAATTTTGATTTGATAAAACTCTGATGTTTTCTGATATTGTAGCCAGATTCCCAACCTGGCCCAGTCATGCCTATGTGTAAAATAAATGGCCATTTTCCTGCACGGACCTCACAGGTGTCAGTGTTCTGTGTGAAGTCTTCTGTGACGAGGAGAATATGAGTATGGAAGGGGGTCATTACACTCTAACCAAGAAGCTTGTGTATGGCAGTATGCTGATATATCACTGTCCAGAAGGGTACTATCCGAATCCAGCTTCAACTCGTTTGTGCCAGAAAAGTGGAACGTGGTCACCACCTCCACATATAAGGCGTCCTCAAAAGTGCAAGAGTAAGTGACAATTCCTTGGCCTGACATTTTTTATAAAAACAGTATTTTAAATAAGATAAATGCTACTTAAACAGTGCTTTCTCCATTTTTTGATTTATTTAGTGATTGAATGCCCAAACCCCTTGGTTTTGGAAAGTGGTACTGTCTCTCCTCTACAAATGCAATATTTTGTCAACAATAAGACAACATATGAGTGTTATTCTGGATACACATTATGTGGCTCATCCTCCCGTGTGTGCCAACCCAATGGGAAGTGGAGTGGGGGAACACCCATTTGCAGACATGACTGTGAGTAGCAAACTATCATCTTAGGACCCTCTTTTGGTCGTAATAACACATTATAAATGAATCTCAGTCTCACAGCCTATGCAATAACTCTCCATACATCTCATACCTTTCTACCTCTCTCACACCCTCCCTCTCCATTTCTCGCTGACATTCTACATTTACATTTACATTACATTTTCGTCATTTAGCAGACGCTCTTATCCAGAGCGACTTACAAATTCTCCCACATTCTCTTCCAGCAGGAGGTGAAAATCGTTGTGCTGACCCTGGGATTCCAGCAGGTGCTAGGAGGTCTGGTTCCAGTTTTGGCATAGATGACAAAGTGACATACCGCTGTGACGAGGGCTTAAATTTGGTGGGGTCAAAGGAGCGTGTATGTCAAGAGAGTGGCCAATGGACTGGGACTGAGCCTAAATGTTACTGTAAGGCCCCAGAAAGACACCCAAAGCGAGCAACATAACACACAGTCACCAATATTCCATTGATCAAAGATACCTGAAGATTGTCATGTACAGTCCAATTTCATAGACTGCGAGAAAGAAAGATTTAACCCTGTGGTTGTCTGGTTCTTTTCTTCTTGTTGCAGACAAACACACGTATGACACTGCACTGGAGGTCACAGAGGCATTCGGCAGTGCTATCAGAGAGAGCCTTCAGTTGGCAGCGCCTATCGGTAGGTCTCTCCATAACAACCAATATGTCATGTTTATCAAGTCTTTATTCTATTGTCAAGATCACCCTAACTGTGTAACATATTTGCCAAACCTTTCACATGTTTTCCTTGTGGCACCATTCCTCACAAACATTATCTTCCACCTGTGATTGTGAGAGTAAGATATCCTGCTGGTGTCTTTCAGATTACACAGATCAGGAAGGAAAGAAGATCACAGTAGATAAAGCTGGAAAGCTTAACATATACATTGCTATGGACATCTCTGACAGCATTGAGGAGGATCAGTTTAACAAAGCAAGAAATGCTGTCAAGAAACTTATCACAAAGGTATGTCACAGGTACTCACAAGGTGCACTATATATATAAAAGTATGTGGACACCCATTCAAATGAGTGGATTCGGCTATTTCAGCCACCCGTTGCTGTCAGGTGTATAAAATTGAGCACACAGCCATGCAATCTCCATAGACAAACATTGGCAGTAGAATGGCAGTACTGAAGAGCTCAGTGACTTTCAACGTGCCACCGTCACAGGATGCCACCTTTCCAACAAGTCAGTTCGTCAAATTTCTGCCATGCTAGAGCTGCCCCGGTCAACTGTAAGTGCTGTTATTGTGAAGTGGAAATGTCTAGGAGCAACAACAGCTCAGCTGCGAAGTGGTAGGCCACACAAGCTCACAGAACCAGATCGTCGAGTGCTGAAGCGCGTAGCGTGTAAAAATTGTCTGTCCTCGGTTGCAACACTCACTACGAGTTCCAAACTGCCTCTGGAAGCAACATTAGCACAATAACTGTTCGTCGGGAGCTTCATGAAATGGGTTTCCATGGCTGAGCAGCCGAACACAAGAACAAGATCACCATACGCAATGCCAAGCGTCGGCTGGAGTGGTGTAAAGCTTGCCGCCATTGGACTCTGGAGCAGTGGAAACGCGTTCTCTGGAGAGATGAATCACGCTTCACCATCTGGCAGTCCGACGGACAAATCTGGGTTTGGCGGATGCCAGGAGAACGCTACCTGCCCCAATGCATAGTGCCAACTGTAATGTTTGGTGGAGGAGGAATAATGGTTTGGGGCTGTTTTTCATAGTTATGGGCTAGGCCCCTTTGTTCCAGTGAAGGGAAATCTTAAAGCGACAGCATACAAGGACATTCTAGATGACTCTGTGCTTCCAACTTTGTGGCAACAGTTTGGGGAAGGTCCTTTCCTGTATCAGCATGACAATGCCCCTGTGCACAAAGCGAGGTCCATACAGAAATAGTTTGTTGAGATTGATGTGGTAGAACTTGACTGGCCTGCACAGAGCCCTGACCTCAACCCCATCAAACACCTTTGGGATGAATTGGAATGACGACTGCGAGCCAGGTCTAATCGCCCAACATCAGTGCCCGACCTCACTAATGCTCTTATGGCGGAATGGAATCAAGTCCCCGCGGCAACGTTCCAACATAGTGGACAGCCTTCCCAGAAGAGTGGAGGCTGTTATTGCAGCAATGGGGGGACCAACTCCATATTAATGCCCATGATTTTAGAATTAGATGTTCAGTGAGTAGGTGTCCACATACCTTTGGTCATGTAGTGTATGTTATGTGATTGCTGAGTAATTTACATCATAGCAGGGGATCCCTTAAAGAGATTCTCTGGTACTTTTGTATACTTTTTTGCCAGTTGTTCTGAAAGTAGTGCTCAGAAGCCAAAAGTGGTCCCCGAAATTGCGTACAACATCACATGTGCAGATATGTGCACCACGTCATTGCTCTTGATGTGGAAATGTAGTCCTTATACTAATCAAAGAATCAAAGTATTTCAGAGTTTTTGTAGAATTAAGATAGACTTTATTACATATAAACAAAGCCGAGTTGATTTGCAAAGCATCTCCCGTCTACCTCTCAGCTCTCCGTTTATATAGTCATATTCACATACATCTTAGCTTAAAGCCCCTCCCTCTTGGGTTCCCCCACCACCATCCTCTGTTTCCCCCTCTCTACCACTCCACCCACTTCCTTAGTCTATGATAGCAGCTAAATTTGACTTTTATTCAGTTTAGAATCAATAGTAGTACAATCAATGAAGCCCTTGTCATGCAAAAATAATCATGTTCAGTTTAAACTCTGTTCAACCCCGGCTCACCCTGGCTTGACCTGAAGATTGATTGTTGGATATGACAGGTCCACACTCAATCTCTCAAACATACCCAAACCCAACTCCTCTCTCCCCTCCCGTCATGCTGTAATTACTCATGATTAGTCTGAACTCTGTTCAACTCTGGCTCCACTCTAAGGACTTTGTTTGTGGAGAGAGGCAAAAGGCAACAGTCTGGTTTCAGTCTCTGATAAATTAGGACAGCCATGGATTAGGTAAGAGCGAGGAATTCGACCCGAGGTCAGATCCCCATTTCACACACACACAAACCCAGTGAAAGGAAGTAATTAAGTTCTTGCCCAGCAACAGAGAATTCTGACTATATGTTCGTCATGTCTGTGATTAACTTTGTTTATCCAATAGTTTACTGAAAAATCTTCATCACTACTCTCTCTTTCTCACTCTGCTGTGTGTGCATGATGTGCCTCTTGCTAGCTGTCACTTACAGTGCATTCGGAAAGTATTCAGACCCCTTTACTTTTTACACATTTTGTTACGTTTTCTCATCAATCTACACACAATACCCCATAATGACAAAACAAAAACAGATTTTTAGAAATGTATTTATTATAAATGTATTTTTTTTATTTTTATGGAAATATCACATTTACATAAGTATTCAGACCATTTACTCAGTACTTTGTTGAAGCACCTTTGGCAGTGATTACAGCCTTGAGTCTTCTTGGGTATGACCCTACAAGCTTGGCACACCTGTATTTGGGGAGTTTCTCCCATTCTTCTCTGCAGATCCTCTCAGGCTCCCCCAATTGCTCAGTTTGGCCAGGCGGCCAGCTCTAGAAAGAGTCTTGGTGGTTCCAAACTTCTTCCATTTAAGAATGATGGAGGCCACTGTGTTCTTGGGGATCTTCAATGCTGCAGACATTTTTGGTACCCTTCCCCAGATCTGTGCCTCGACACAATACTGTCTCGGAGCTCTACGGACAATTCCCTCAACCTTTTTGCTCTGACATTCACTCTCAACTGTGGGACCTTATATAGACAGGTGTGTGCCTTTCCAAATCATGTCCAATCAATTGAATTTACCACAGGTGGACTCCAATCAAGTTGTAGAAACATCTGAAGGATGATCAATGGAAACAGGATGCACCTGAGCTCAATTTCGAGTCTCATAGCAAAGGGTCTGAATACTTTTTTTTTTTTTTGCAAACATTTCTAAAAACCGGTTTTCACTTTGTCATTATGGGGTATTGTGTGTAGATTGATGAGGAAAAAATTGTATTTAATCCATTTAATGTATTTAATAGCGTAACAAAATGTGGAAAAAGTCAAGGGCTCCGAATACTTTCCGAATGCACTGTATATGGCGAGGGGCTGAAGCTCATTGGTTGAACTCGAATTGGGATTGCTCACATTGTCACGTTCGCTTACAGACGGGACGGACCAAAGCACAGCGTGATATGCATACATGTTTATTTATACTGAATAAACACCACGACAAAACAACAAATGAAACGAAACGTGAAGTCCAAGGTAGACAAACAACATAACTCACACGGAACAAGATCCCACAACCCACTAGTGCCAATAGACTACCTAAGTATGGTCCCCAATCAGAGACAACGAGCGACAGCTGCCTCTGATTGGGAACCACACCGGCCAACATAGATCTAGACTTGCTAGATCTAAACATAGAACATACCACACAGAAAATACACACCCTGACTCAACAAATACGAGTCCCCAGAGTCAGGGCGTGACAGTACCCCCCCCCCCCCCCCCCCCAAAGGTGCGGACTTCGACCGCACAACATAAACATAACAGGGTAGGGGCCAGGTGGGCATTCCGCCTCGGAGGCGGATCCGGCTCAGGGCGTGACGACCACTTACTCTCCGCCTCCCTGTTGCGCCCCTGGTCTGGTCTGGACCTCGGTGCGCTGCTTCCCCTCTCCTTCCTCCCACGAAGTACCAAGCCCTGTCTGGACCCTGGTGTGGGAGACCCCGAACCTGGAGAGGGGCTGACGTTTGGGTCTGGACTGGAGCCGCTGACCGGAGCTGGACCGGGCACCGGTGGAGCGGACTGCTCTGGCTCCGGAGTGGAGCAGCTGACCGGAGCTGGATCAGGCACCGGTGGAGCGGACTGCTCTGGCTCCGGAGTGGAGCTGCTGACCGGAGCTGGACTGGACCCCAGTGAAGCGGATTGCTCTGGCTCCAGAGTGGAGCAGCTGACCGGAGCTGAACTGGGCACCGGTGGAGCGGACTGCTCTGGCTCCGGAGTGGAGCAGCTGACCGGTGCCGGACCAGGCACCGGTGGAACAGGCACATGCCGGACTGGACACACGCACCACTGGCTTGGTGCGAGGGGCAGGAACAGGCCGGGCCGGGCTGGCGACGCGCACCACTGGCTTGGTGCGAGGGGCAGGAACAGGCCGGGCCGGGCTGGCGAAGCGCACCACTGGCTTGGTGCGAGGGGCAGGAACAGGCCGGGCCAGGCTGGCGACGCGCACCACTGCCTTGGTGCGAGGGACAGGACCAGGCCGGACCGGGCTGGTGACGCGCACTACTGGCTTGGTGCGAGGGCCAGGAACAAGCCGGGCCGGGCTGGCGACGCGCACCACTGGCTTGGTGCGAGGGGCAGGAACAGGCCGGGCCGGGCTGGCGACGCGCACCACTGTCTTGGTGCGAGGGGCAGGAACAGGCCGGACCGGGCTGGCGACGCGCACCACTGGCTTGGTGCGAGGGGCAGGAACAGGCCGGGCCGGGCTGGCGACGCGCACCACTGGCTTGGTGCGAGGGGGAGGAACAGGCCGGACCGTACTGGGAACACGCACCACTGGCTTAGTGCGGGAAGCAGGAACAGGACGGGCCGGACTGGTGACGCGCACCACTGGCTTGGTGCGAGGGGCAGGAACGGGTCGGGCCGTACTGGGAACACGCACCACTGGCTTAGTGCGGGAAGCAGGAACGGGCCGGACCGGACTGGCGACACGCACCACTTGCCTGGTGCGAGGAGCGGGACTGGGTTCCTTTATTAACCCCCGCTCCTTCTGCTGCCTAACCAGCTCCTCTCGCTGTGCCTCTACACTTTCCTTCTCCCTTATAGCCTCCTGTAGCGCCTCCCTCTGACCGAATAACTCCTGCTCCCTCTGAACCAATAGCCCCCGTAACATGGTGGCCTCCTCTCTTAACCTGCAGATCCGCCCTTTAACGGCCTCCTGCTGCCTCGTCGTCCACACCGTGTGCCCCCCCCAAAAATTTTCTTGGGGTTGCCTCTCGGGTCTCCGTCGTCGGCACTGTTGGCGCCGTTTCTCCTCTCCTACCTGGGCATCCTCCTTCATCGCCTTTCGGTAACGGACGGCCTCCTCCTCCGTAATTCTCCCCCAACCGAGGAGGACATCTACTAATGTAACCTCCTGTTGAATTCCCGGCGTTTGCTCCTGAACACGCTGCTTGGTCCTCGTTTGGTGGGATCTTCTGTCACGTTCGCTTACAGACGGACGGACCAAGGCGCAGCGTGATATGCATACATGTTTATTTATACTGAATATACACCACGACAAAACAACAAATGAAACGAAACGTGAAGTCCAAGGTAGACAAACAACATACCTCACACGGAACAAGATCCCACAACCCACTAGTGCCAATAGACTACCTAAGTATGGTCCCCAATCAGAGACAACGAGCGACAGCTGCCTCTGATTGGGAACCACACCGGCCAACATAGATCTAGACTTACTAGATCTAAACATAGAACATACTACACAGAAAATACACACCCTGACTCAACAAATACGAGTCCCCAGAGTCAGGGCGTGACACACGTGAGGGAAAATGTAGGAAAAATGGCACAGCACAGCTTCTAGAAAAACAGTTGCTTTCAAACTAGGTATTTTGTGGCTAATTGAGGTAAAACAGTAATTCTGCTCATAGATTATGCATTTATGAACTATACATCCAGCCCAAAGCGGGAGTTTAAAAAAAATACTCAGTATTTGCAAAAATTCCAGAGCATGTCTTCTTAACCCTTAATGTAAGCACATCACACAAAAATTACTGACACTATGCTTTCAGTTATTGTTCACCACAGTTTTCAATTCACATTATTTGACACACATCTAAATGTCAATTTGTCTTGTACCTTGTCCTTTCACAGGTCAGCTCCTTTGCAGTCAGCCCAAATTATGAAATCATTTTCTTTGCTTCTGATGTATTAGAAGTTGTCAACATAATAGATTTTTCTGGAGAAAAAAGAAAAACACTTGAACAAGTCTTGGATGACTTGGACAACTTTAATTATGGAGGTGAGCAAAGATTGACTTTACATGTATTTACATCATCATTGCTTAAACTATACACTTATCCAGTTATCCATAAACTTCACAAATAGTGTGTGTGTGTGTGTGTGTGTGTGTATGTGTGTGTTTGTGTGTGTGTGTGTGTGTGCACTTTTTCACAGATAGAGAAAATGTTGGGACCAATCTCAACCTTGCCTTTAAAACCATCCTGGAACGCATGGCTATCCAAAAACAACGAAATGAAACTTTATTCAAGGAGGTCCACCATGTCCTCATCTTTTTCACAGATGGTACTGCAGTACTATTATTCATGTATATTTGTTTGGAAAGTATTTGATTTTCATTATTGATTGCAGCTTCTTTTTTTAAAAAGCTTCTGTTCAGCTTTGGTCAGCTCAGTAATAATCTCTTGACTGTCTTTACTTGCAGGTGCTTACAACATGGGGGGTAGGCCCGAAGACACAGTGGCCAAAATCAGGGAAACAGTCATCATGAATACAAAGGAAGAACGGGATCAATATCTTGGTGAGGTCAAAGATATTTGTGTTGTCTTGACATTCAACAACAACCTGACATTCTAGTCTCAACTATTCATACCTATTCATTGCCTGTATAGGTGTCTTTCTAACTATAGACTGAGCTAGGCCTATAACATGCACACAGTATTTGGCTCGGGAATAATGATCAAACATTTATGAACAATGATTTGTGGCACTGTACAGTATTGAAATGAATTCGAGCCAGCTATCATCTCAAGTATATGAATGTTCTTTTTTTTGGACCAACTTATTATTTTTTTTGCTTGAATTGTCCTGCCAATGCTTTGTTGTTTTAAATTATATTTCAAAATTTGAGGTGGGCTATATGATCACACTGGTAATAGATCCGTTGTTGTATTACTTGTGAGGCATAGCTGAGTGAGCATACATTTAAATAATTTGCTTTTTATTTTACTGGGCTGATGGTGCCTGCATCTGATGGTCAGTCTCAGCGGAGGGAGAGAGCAGCAGACTGAGGGTCCGCCTCTCAACATCCCTCTGCTCTCCCTTTCCTCCACTCGAGTCGCATTATCGCATTATTTCTGCCTCATGCACAAATTCATCTTACTCCTATGAACAGAGAAAGAAAAATGTTCCTCAATATTAAGAAATACCAAAGCCGCTAATAATAACAACAACAACGCAAGCTTATAGATACACTTTCCTACTCATTCATTACTGCTGCACTGCTTGTTGTAGCGCCGAGTGGAAATAGGAAGAACGCGCATTTTATGGCTTATAAAAGTGTTGAATACAAAGTGACAGTGCTGAGTAAGAACTTAAACATGAACTCACTAATAAAAACAGCAGCTCTTTGCTGTATTCGTTGACAGTCTCTCTTTGGTCATGGTTTTAAATATTTTGAAATCTCACAGTATCAACTTCTTCTTCTTCTTCTGTAGGTTTTATGGCAGACTACAACCCAAAAAGGTGTATTGCCGCAACCAACTGGACGGGTTGACAAACCAAATCCATATGTGATAGGGAAGCTAACTTAATCCACTTAAATAAAAAGAGTACATTGACAAAAAAAAACTCCCACTTCTTACATTTTTAGCAGACACTCTTATCCAGAGCAACTTACAGTTAGTGAGTGCATACATTTTCCATACTGGCCCCCCGTGGGAATCAAATCCACAACCCTGGCGTTGCAAGCACCATGCTCTACCAACTGAGCTACAGAAGACCCTTCTTTCAAATCTCCATATCTCCCTTCTCAGGTTCTAGGGCCTGAGAGGGTGGTACGGCTTGTGACAATATTCCATGTAACTCCTCCGCCGAGAACTGTTTCAGCCCCAGGAACCGCTCCGCCGCATCCACAATGATATCTATCTTCCTGGACCTTCTCTCCACCTTGGCAGTGCCATTATTCACCAAAGCTATAAAGGCCACAAAGTCCACCTTCTTAACCTTTAAAATGTCAGGGTCCTGCTGGTGAAGGCCTATCCACCACCATGGACTCTTCAGGAGCACCATTCAAACCCTCAACCCTTTTAACAGTTGCTGCATATGAAATGCTCTGGACAGCCCTGACTTTGGCCACCTCATTCTCTTTCACCCTTGTCGGGCAATCGAAAGATGTAGCTTCATGGTTCCCACCACAATTGCAACATTTCACATTTTCCTCACTTTTAAAACACATAATATGATCTTTTCCACAATTTGGACATCTCGGCTTCCCTCTTCTGCAAATACTTGAAACATGACCAAAAGCTTTACAATGATAACACTGCATTGATCTTGGGATAAATGCTCTGACTCTGTAGTTTAAAACTGCACTTGAGTAGGGAGAGACTCCATATCAAAAAACAAAAGAACATATAGACTGTTCACTTTTTTACCATTCACCACACGATTCATCCAACGTGCATCAATCACTCCAGGAATATTTTCTCTTCAAAATCGACTTCCCACGAGACGCCAGATATAACCCCCTTGAGGGCTGCCCTGTTCCGAAGAGACACACACGACACTTCAAACTTATCAAATCGGGTGAGATGCAACGCGCGTTCCTTTTGATCCGCAGAATAACAAAAAATCAAAACAAGCCCGCCTCTAGTGATCCTCACAGCCTTCACTTTACCCAGCCCACCTCCACCAGTTTGGATATCTCAAATGGTTTCTTCAATACTGGTACTCTGCTCAGCTACTCCTCATTAACAAACCGTTTTCCATTATTTTGGACAATACTCCAATTTTCCTTGATTCTACCGCCATTGGATTCAGAATCCACTTCATCGTCCGCTTCCGCCATCTTTCCTACCAACATTCCTTGTCCCAGAATAGCCTAGAATGCACCGTGCGGCCCATTGACCATTTCTTCCAGAGAGCTCACAGTATCAACTTTGCTGAAGCTTTCTTTTCTGCCTGCTACATTACTGCAGACACCATAATCTGAGCCATCCGATTGGCCAGCTGTAGGCCTGTAGTGCATTTGATTTGCTCTCTGGGCCCACTGGGAAGGCAGATTTTGTGCCTTCAGGCACATTAAATAGTTCAAAATGGCAACAGTTCGCCTACCCAAAAAGCAAGTTCTGCAGGCTCTAGTTTAGTCTAATCTTGATTATTGTCCAGCCAAGTGGTCCAGTGCTGCAAGGAAAGACCTAGTTAAGCTGCAGTTGGCCCAAAACAGAGCGGCACGTCTTGCTTTTCATTGTAATCAGAGGGCTGATATAAATACTATGCATGCCAGTCTCTCTTGGCTAAGAGTTGAGGAGAGACTGACTGCATCACTTCTTCTTTTTATAATAATAATATGCCATTTAGCAGACACTTTTATCCAAAGCAACTTACAGTCATGCGTGCATACATTAAAAAAAAATTTGGTGTGTGTGGGTGGTCCCGGGGATTGAACCCACTACCTTGGTGTTACAAGCACCGTGCTCTACCAGCTGAGCTACAGAAACATGAATGTGTTGAAAATCCCAAATTGTTTGCATAGTCAACTTACACACAGCTCTGACACACACACTTACCCCACCAGACATGCCACCAGGGGTCTTTTCACAGTCCCCAAATCCAAAACAAATTCAAGAAAGCGTACAGTATTATATAGAGCCATTATTGCATGGAACTCTGTTCCATCTCATATTGCTCAAATAAACAGCAAACCTGGTTTCAAAAAACAGATAAAGCAACGGCACAACGCCTCTCCCCTATTTGACCTAGATAGTTTGTGTGTATGTATTGATATGTAGGCTACGTGTGCCTTTAAAAATAATGTATGTAGTTCTGTCCTTGAGCTGTTCTTGTCTATTAATGTTCTGTATTATGTCATGTTTCATGTTTTGTGTGGACCCCAGGAAGAGTAGCTGCTGCTTTTCAACAGCTAATGGGGATCCTAATAAAATACCAAATACCAAATACCCAGCACGCAGTGCAGCTGAATCGGGTGCACCTACCACCAACAGCCAGAGAAAAATATATATAGGAACACAAGGCTTTATCGTTGGGTTTTTTACAAAAATGTTAGGCGATCGACCAGGAATGCCTTGGAGATTGACCAGTCGACCGCGACGACCGGTTGGTGACCACTCCTCTAGAAAGTTGAGTGAAGTTCAATCTCGTGCTTCTCTCTGTGGGCTGCTATTTCTTCTGCGTGCATGGCAGTCTCAGGGCTACTGTGCGCCCACGCAGGCGTGCAGCTTAGAGGGAACATTGGTCAAGCTTTTAAATTTGAACCAAGTTATATTTTAGGGCGTTTGGATGAAATTATTGAATAACATTTTTGCAACACTCGTGCATGAAACGCGAGCGGTTTGGTCAGCATGTCCGTTAATTCATAGTGATTTTGCAAAAGAAAGCCACACGAAAGCCACGCGTTTCAATATGCCGCCAGAACCGGAACACCTAGGTCTACTACCTAAGTATGTGAATGTTCTTGATTCATCTAATGCCTAATGTTTTGGGCACTTCCTCTTGTTTTTTAGATATCTATGTTTTTGGTGTTGGAAGTGAAATCTTTGATGAAGATATCCAGCCACTTGTGACAAAAAGGGATAATGAGGACCACTACTTTAAACTAAAGGATGGTGCAAAATTGGAAGAAACCTTTGATAAAATAATTGGTGAGTCCTTCTAATTTGACCAACAAATATGGCAGAGTGTGTCTCTGCATGGACTTTGTTCCCTCAGAGAGTACTATATTTCAGTGTCTTTGTATCAGTGTGTTGAGCCACCTCTCTCCTCTATGTAGATGAAAGCAAGGTTGTGGGTCTATGCGGGCTCCATAGAAACTACGATCATGACACCGCAGATACCATACGTGTAAGATATCCCTGGATGGCAAGGATTGGCATCACGGTAATTACTCATGCCTCATTTGTCTAAATGGAAACTATTTTTAATGTTTGATTATTTCATCAATGCAACAGTGGCCTTTCTTCATGATCAGATTGTATTTAGTGTGCAGTGCACTGTGTTAAGTGATTCATTACCAATGCAATACATGACAGCTATAGTTAGAATTAGAATTAGAAATTGATTGGATATCTTTACCATTTACAGCAGACCTCGCCTTTCATTTAAGGCTGGAATTCAATCATCACTCGTAGTGTGTTTCTGCAACGCAATTTCTCAGGTTGTTTGTGCTTTGGGAGAGTGATAAACAACATTATGGCTGACACACCTCCCAAACTGTATCCTGTCCCATCCCAGTGCACTCAAAGATTGATATATTGTTGACCTTTTATTAAATATTGATGCAACTTGCATGTTGTCATTGACAGTATTTATGTTCAACCTCTCTCTCCTGATCCCGTTAGCATGAGGATGAAAGTTATGGTAAATGCATGGGGTCTCTGGTCACTCCCCGCTTCATCTTGACTGCTGCTCACTGCTTCAAGTTCACAGACACAGCAGATAAAATCAAGATTAAGATTGGCAAAAATCAAGGTGCAACCAGCCACTCCTCTAAAAACATTTCCACTTACACCCAAAGTTTTTGAAACTCCAGTTTCCTTAAGACAAATGTCTCTGTAGTTGGGGATAGTGAAACTTGTTTTTTCAAGTGATTATCATCATTAACAGAATATATGTCAGGATGCCACATGTATTTGAACTGGTGCTATTCTATGAAATAGGTTTGCTAATTTATACCCTGGTCCTGTCTCCTAACAGTTCTAACAGGATCACGTCTAATATTACACCCTAATTTTAATATCAAAGCCAAAGAGAAAGAGGGGATAAATGAGTTCTATGATTATGACGTAGCTCTCATCGAACTGAAGAATGATGTAGACATCTCTATCGACACAAGGTAAGACACATACAGTCAGGTGCAAAATGATTGGCACCCTTGATAAAGATGAGCAAAAAAATACTGTATAAAATAAATAATACAAATACTGAGCTATATTGCATGCTCAGATAAATTGGTAAATTATTTTATACTAAAACAATTGCTCAGAGAAAGAGAGTTTGTTTGAAAATAAATAATATATAAAAAAATTTTTAAAGATAGGGGTATAAATGATTAACTCTCCTGTTTTCAATACTCCAGCACCCTCCCACTGTGAGGATAACGACACTGAGCCTTTCTCTCAAATGTTTTATGAGATTGGAGATCACATTGGGAGGGATCTTAGACCAACTTAGTTATCTTTTTGAGATTTGTTGTATTACTTGTTAAACAAAATCTCTTTCTCTGAGCAAATGTATTAGTATAAAATAATATAATTTTCACCCAAACAATTGCATACAATATAGCTCAGGATTGGTATAATTTATTTTATAGTCTTTTTTGCTCATTTTTATCAAGGGAGACAATAATTTGACCTGACTGTATGTCTTTTGATGCAGAAGGAACAAGAATGAATATGTCACGACTTCCTCCGAAACTGCCTCCTCTCCTTGTTCGGGCAGGCTTCGGCGTTCGTCGTCACCGCCCTTCTAGCCACTGCCGCTCCATATCTCATCATTCCATTTGTCTTGTCTTGTCTTGTTACACACACCTACCACATCCCCTCATTAGTACGTGTATAAGTGTTCCCTCTGCCCCCCTTGTCCTTGTGGGTGATTGTTTATTGTGAGGAGTAGTAGCGCGGTTGAGCTCAGTGTATGTTGTATTGCCGGGGTATATTTTCCCTGTGTGCCTGTTTTGTTCCAGTGCGCCTGTTTTGCGCACTGGACTGGTTGACGCTATTCTGCGTAACGCTGTATTACGGAATAAACTCTGTATTCTGTGATTTACCCTCCTGCGCCTGACTCCTTCAACTCACGCATCACAGAATACAGTGATGCAGAATTTGTACCTAAATAATCCAGGTTTTTGGAGTAATGTGTGAAACACATAGTTTCTTTCATTAATTCTTGCTCTACTGTCTTCCTCAGACCAATTTGCATCCCTTGCACCAAGGAAACAAGTGGTGCTTTAAGATTGGTGGGAGAGGAAATCACCTGCAAGCAACAAGGTGCAATTACAGCACACAGCCTATTCATCAAGATACACATAACCTAGAAAGGTTCAATTAGGCACTGTATGTTACCTTGTCTCATATATTTCTCTCCTTGCAGAAGAGCTCTTGTTAAAAAATCATTTTGAAGAAGTCAGTTTCATGTCACATGATAAGGACAGGGAAAGTAGTAAGGATCAGCGGAGCGATGCCAAACTTAAGCTCCAGGATCAGGTGAGTGCTTGTATGATGTCTGACCAAACAGACAGTCAGACAGACAGACAGACCCACCCACCAATGGATGATTCATGTACAGTACCAGTCAAAAGTTTGGACACACCTACTCATTCAAGGGTTTTTCTTTATTTGTACTATTTTCTACATTGTAAAATAATAGTGAAGACATCAAAACTATGAAATAACAAATATGGAATCATGTAGTAACAAACAAAGTGTTCAACAAATGAAAATATACTTTATATTTGAGATTCTTCAAATAGCCACCCTTTGCCTTTATGACAGCTTTGCACACTCTTGGCATTCTCTCAACCAGCTTCACCTGGAATGCTTTTCCAACAGTCTTGAAGGAGTTCCCACATATGCTGAGCACTTGTTGGCTGCTTCTCCTTCACTCTGCCGTCCGACTCATCCCAAACCATCTCAATTTGGTTGAGGTCGGGGGATTGTGGAGGCCAGGTCATCTGATGCAGCACTCCATCACTCTCCTTCTTGGTAAAAATAGTCCTTACACAGCCTGGATATGTGTTGGGTCATTGTCCTGTTGAAAAACAAATGATAGTCCCACTAAGCCCAAACCAGATGGGATGGCGTATCGCTGTAGAATGCTGTGGTGGCCATGCTGGATAAGTGTGCCTTGAATTCTAAATAAATCACAGACAGTGTCACCAGCAAGGCACCCCCACACCATTACACCCCCTCCTCCATGCTTTATGGTGTGAACAACACATGCAGAGATCATCAGTTCACCCACACCTCGTCTCACAAAGACACGGCGGTTGGAACCAAAAATCTCAAATTTGGACTCCAGACCAATGGACAAATTTCCACCGGTCTAATGTCCATTGCTCATGTTTCTTTCCCCAAGCAGGTCTCTTCTTCTTAATGGTGTCCTTTAGCAGTGGTTTCTTTGCAGCAATTCGACCATGAAGGCCTGATTCACACAGTTCCCTCTGAACAATTGATGTTGAGATGTGTCTGTGACCTGAACTCTGTGAAGCATTTATTTGGGCTGCAATTTCTGAGGCTGGTAACTCTAATGAACTTATCCTCTGCAGCAGAGGTAACTCTGGGTCTTCCATTCCTGAGAGCCAGTTTCATCATAGCGCTTGATGGTTTTTGCAACTGCACTTGAAGAAACTTTCAAAGTTCTTGAAATGTTCCGTATTGACTGACCTTCATGTCTTAAAGTAATGATGGACTGTCGTTTCTCTTTGCTTATTTGAGCTGTTCTTGCCATAATATGGACTTGGTCTTTTACCAAATATGGCTATCTTCTGTATACCCCCCCTACCTTGTCACAACACAATTGATTGGCTCAAACGCATTAAGAAGGAAATAAATTCCACAAATTAACTTTTAAGAAGGCACACCTGTTAGTTGAAATGCATTCCAGGTGACTACTTTGTGAAGCTGGTTGAGAGAATGCCAAGCGTGTGCAAAGCTGTCATCAAGGCAAAGGGTGGCTATTTGAAGAATCTCAAATATAAAATAGATTTTGATTTGTTTAACCCACTTTTTGGTTACTAGATGATTCCATGTGTTATTTCATAGTTTTGATGTCTTCACTATTATTCTACAATTTAGAAAATATAAAAAATAAAGAAAAACCCTGGAATGAGTATGTGTGTCTAAACTTTTGACTGGTACTGTATGTGCCCCTCTCTCTCTAATTTTTTGTCTCTTGCAGAGGGAAAATTGTATTAGCTTGGCTACTAAGGTAGATGGCATAACATCAGATAATCTGAAGGATGTTGTGACTGAAAACTTCCTATGCTCGGGTGGGCGTCAACCTACTAGAGATAATGTTGCCTGTAAAGGTATGTTTAATATATCATGGAACATTGGATGATGCACTCACTGTCTAAGTGTGTCTTTTATCTTTCAATGGATTGAGAAAATCTCTAGTTTTGATATATTTGTTTTTAATTTTCAAAAGGAAAAGGGTCCTATTACTTGGTCTTACATTAACACTTAATTTTGTGTATGTGTATGTGTGCACAGGTGACTCCGGTGGTGCTCTGTTTAAGAACTATGATGATTACCGCACAATCCAGGTTAGAGACATTCAGGGCATCTATTTACATCAGATAAATAGGCACTAGGCACTACCTACAGAGGGGAGCAGTAAGAGAGTGGTAACTTTCTGTGCATTTCCCTCATACTTTTTGCTCTATGCTTTTTTGTACATGGAATTTTACATATTTATTTATGTAAAAATGTATTTGTAAACATCTGGGGTCTTTGTAATCTACAGTTAATGCACATTAATTAGTACTGACACCGCATCCATTCTTCAAAGGTTGGATTGATCAGCTGGGGCACCAAAAATCTGTGCCCTGATGGTAACAACGACGTCAAACAGGAGTCTGACGATGACTCCAGAGATTTCCACATCAACCTTTTTAAAGTTGTGCCATTTCTGAAGAAGTATTTGGGCGATGACACACGAGATTATGCACCTCTTCAGTTTTTAGACAAATAGAGACAGTGATAAAGATGTGTGTTTTAACAAAGTTTTATGATTATGTAATTACTGCGCTGAACATGATCATGTGTCTGAAAAATAGTTTGTTGAACTATAGTGAAAGTGTGTTCTTTACAAGTGCTGATAATAAACTCATTAACTGAATTTGAATCATTTCCTTTCTGTAGTCCTTGAATAACGCCAGCTCTGAAATACCCTTTTCTCTGTATCCCTTCTGTGTTGGCCATACTGCATACATATGGTATTGTCAGTCAGATCTACAAACACCAAAGCAGCAGCAGGATCTGGGTGAAGATTATGGTTTGTAGTTTTACAGGTCAGAAGTTTCCTTATAGCCCTTCCCAGGTCAGGGGGGTTGACATGTTTTTTGTTGTTGTTGTTTTTTGACAGAGAAATCACCATGGTTCCAAAACTAGAGGAGACATCATACTCAAACGTTTAATTAAAGACATGTCAGACTTCCCTCTGTTGAAGGCAACCTTATATTCTGGGTTATATGATGGGATAAACAGTTCAACTAAACTCATGATGCATTTTTTTGTGATATTCTTCATGAAACAATGGGTAATGTATATGCCACCATTATTATGTAAATGTCAAAGATGGAGACATCACAGACGTTGAAGATAACAATACGTGGACCTTTAAAGCAGAACTCTTTATGATAGTCGCGTTTGTTGAGGAATCTTTTCTCCGTTGCTCCTGTAGCCAAAACCACTGCTGTAACAAAAACAAATTGCATCACAGGATGTCATTGCAATATTAATTGAGGAATATTGTACTGGTCATGTCTTAAGTCGCAGAGATGAAAGAAAAGTAAGTAAAGCTAGCTAGCTAACTCAAACCTTAAGCTAACTTGAACATTACCTCAAGCAAGCAAGCCATCACCCAGCCTGGTCTCATAGACTAGACGTAACATAGTAAAAGTAAATCCGGGACACTTAAATTAGTATGATATATTATGTTTGGTATGGTTACATAAGACAGAATGTTACTTAAAAGTGGAATGGAAAGACTTTAGGAAGTACAGCTAAGCAAAGAGATGTATTCAATCCACTAATACTAAACATGTGCATTTCCACTAATACTAAACATGTGCATTTAACATAGAAACATCACTATTTTTAGGATTTTGATCTTGAACAATGTTCATTAGCGGTATGGGTAGTGCCATCTTGAATTGCCATAGTAAAGACTGATGCCAATGTGTCATTGGCAGGATTAAGCAAATTGTGAGTTTTGGTGAAGGGACTGAAAGTGAATCTGCCACCCGGAGCCGCCTTGCCTCTACTGGCCCTGAAAGATTTCTCACAAATTTGACACTGCTCTGTCATTGTGATCAGGACAACAAAACTGTATACAATTCATTTTTATGTTGCTAATTATAATATTGATATTTTAGAGTATTGATGAGTCTGTGAAATGAACTTTTGATAACAAGCTGAATAGACAGTTAGCCAAAACAAGACATGGTAGCTAGCTAGCTAGCCTACTTGATTTAGCTCTTCTCTTGTCTTTTTAATGTTTTAATGTTTTCTTTGAAAGCTGTACAACATAACATTCTTATATTGACAATTTGAAGATCATTTGTCATTAGGCATTATTCAGAGCTAAAACGAACTGGCTAGTGATTTGATATGTAGCTAGTGTGGTATCTGAGGAATTTATGACTTTGCTAATGGTTTCAAATGGTTTTAGAGGATGTTGACTCAGCTTAAAGGGAGCATCTGGGGAGTAGTTCTATAGGGGCACCCTAAAGCCAAGGAAGTCTGTTAGGTGGAGTCCTGGGATTGGTCTGTAGGGAAAACACCCATATTATGTTACATAGGTCATAGGAAATAAATACCACGGTTAAAACAAAGGAGGGGGAGAATAACATATTACAGATTGGGGTCCGGTTATTCTCCAGATGTCTGCAGATATCTGTAAATTGACGCTGGAATACTTTGATATAAATAAACCTTTATAATCAAAGTACAGTGTCAGCGGAATTCTTGTTCTCACAGCATCTCAGCATAGTTTTCTCGACACCACACTAGCCAGCCAGAGAAGGCTGCTGTAGGATTGCTCTATTTTACTAGTAAAATGTAGCTAGCTAGCTATGATCCCCATAGCTATAATTATCTCATTAGGTGTCTGTTTATCTGTGATATGTCATATGATTCCTAGAAAATAATAGCTAAGCCTGCTGCTGTTGATTGTAATAAGCCTGAAGCCTAGCTAGCTAGATAATTACTTTTGAAAGCTTAGGCTGGTAGTCAGCTTGGTAACTAAATCATCCTGGTCTAGCTGGTTTTGTGACGTTGCTACTTACAGGTATACATTGTCACATTTCAGTTATGGACTATCAGATATGAAATTATGTTACATGTTTTCTCAAATGTTAGAGTGAAAGGCCGATTGATAACTAACTACACAATAGCTAGCTACACAATTCCCTTCCATTCATGATTCCCTTTTTTATGTGCTGAAGGTTCATCGCTACTCGGTGAAGACGAGGAAGAACACGATGAGATTGAACTGGGGGAGCCGAGAATGCCAAGTCACAACACAACTGATTGGCTCAAACACATTAAGAAGGAAAGAAATTCCACAAATTAACTTTTAACAAGGCACACCTGTTAATTGAAATGCATTCCAGGTGACTACCTCATGAAGCTGGTTGAGAGAATGCCAAGAGTGTGCAAAGCTGTCATCAAGGCAAAGGGTGGCTACTTTGAAGAATCTCAAATATAACATATATTTTGATTTGTTTAACACTTTTTTGGTTACTAGATGATTCCATATGTGTTATTTCATAGTTTTGATGTCTTTACTATTATTCTACAATGTAGAAAATAGTAAAAATAAAGAAAAACCCTTGAATGAGTAGGTGTGTCCAAACTTTTGACTGGTCAAAAGTTTGGACCAACATATAAACTACTAGTCAAAAGTTTGGACGCAACTACTCATTCCAGGGTTTTTCTTTATTCTTACTATATAGAATAATAGAGATTCATCAAAGTAGCCACTCTTTGCCTTGATGACAGCTTTGCACACTCTTTTCAAGGTAGGCTATAAAGTACCACAGTATGTGACATAATACCCATAAAAACAGGGAAATAGTTATAATTGTTTTTCCACCATTCATTTTTCCTATAGGGGATTTTAGAAAATAAGGGCTGTGTTTGATGTAGGCTTACCCTTGCGTGATGTTTTGATAACCGTGTAAATCTCTCTTGGACAAGGTGACTTTTATCAACACTCGTTTTTTTACTGTAGAGCCAGCCTGTCAAACTAACAATTACTTTACCATCTATGTAGAGCTCTCTTTCTAGACTGTAAGAGAGACCTTATCCATTACAAGTTCAAGTTAAACAATAGCTGCAGGAACCAGAGTCATCAGGTTTGTCATTCCAGTTAATATTGTCTGCAGGTATGTTATCTTGCATCTCCCAGTATCAGGTTACACACTGTAACCCCAGAGCACAATGATAACAAAGTAGAAGAAATGGCAAGATAACACACCTGCAACTCAATAGCAGCTATAGGTAATAAGACATCTACTGTCATTATGAGCATTGCAAGAGATATACACTGAAAAAAATATAAACACAACATTTAAAGTGTTGATCCCATGTTTCATGAGCTGAAGTAAAAGATCCCAGTGTTCTATATGCACAAAGCTTCTTTCTCTCAAATTTTGTGCACAAATTTGTTTACATACCTGTTAGTGAGCATTTCTCCTTTGCCAAGATAATCCATCCACCTGACAAGTGTGGCATGTCAAGAAGCTGATTAAACAGCATGATCGTTACAGAGGTGCACCGTTACTGGGGACAATAAAAGGCCACTCTAAAATGTGCAGTTTTGTCACACAACACAATGCCACAGATGTCTCAAGTTTTGAGAGCGCGTGCAATTGGCATGCTGACTCCAGGAATGTCCACCAGAGCTGTTGCCAGATAATTGAATGTTCATTTCTCTCCCATAAACTGCCTCTAACGTCGTTTTAGAGAATTTGGCAGTACGTCCAACCGGCCTCACAACCGCAGACCACGTGTAACCATGCCAGCCCAGGACCTCCACATCCAGCTTCTTCACCTGCGGGATCATCTGAGACCAGCCACCCGGACAGCTGATGAAACTGGGGAGTATTTCTGTCTGTAATAAAGCCCCTTTGTGGGGAAAAACTCAGTCTGATTGGCTGGGCCTGGCTCCCCAGTCCAAACGGCCTCACAACCGCAGACCACATGGCGTCGTGTTGGCGAGCGGTTTGCTGATGTCAACGTTGTGAACAGAGTGCCCCATGGTGGCATTGGGCTTATGGTATAAGCTACGGACAATGAACACAATTGCATTTTATCAATGGCAATTTGAATGCACAGAGATACCATGACGAGATCCTGAGGCCCATTGTCGCGCCATCCATCTGCCGCCATAACCTCATGTTTCAGCATGATAATGCACAGCCCCATGTCGCAAGGATCTGTACACAATTCCTGGAAGCTGAAAATGTCCCAGTTCTTCCATGGCCTTCATACTCTCCAGACATGTCACCCATTGAGCATGTTTGGGATGCTCTGGATCGACATGTATGACAACGTGTTCCAGTTTCCACCAATATCCAGGAACTTCGCACAGCCATTGAAGTGTGACAACATTCCACAGGCCACAATCAACAGCCTGATCAACTTTATGCAAAGGAGATGTGATGTGCTGCATGAGGCGAATGGTGGTCACAGCAGATACTGACTGGTTTTCTGATACACGCCTGATCCCTTACCTTGTTTTTAAGGTATCTGTGACCAACAGATGCATATCTGTATTCCCAGTCATGTGAAACCCATAGATTAGAACCTAATGAATGTATTTCAGTTGACTGATTTCCTTATATGAACTGTAACTCAGTAAAATCTTTGAAATAGTTGCATGTTGTGTTTATATTTTTGTTCAGTGTAATAATGAGTAGGATACCTTGATATTCCAAGGGACAACTCTGCTGGTACCTCTGAGAGGCTCGCGTTACAATAATAGCACTCTATCACTGTGTGTGTGTGTGTGTTTGAGTGTTTGAGAGAGGGAGTGGGTGTGACAGACAGAGAGAGAGACAGAGAGACAGAGAGAGAGAGAGAGAGAGAGAGAGAGAGAGAGAGAGAGAGAGAGAGCGAGCACGCACACAACACACCATATGCACCTGCTGTGACGCTCTGACTCTCACATTATTATTGTTGAGAGATTGTACTAGTAAAGAGTGCGTCTTTAACGAGAGGCGTAGCTATTCTCTTGTGCTCCCTGGAGGGCAAGTTCCGCTTCCTGCTATTAAAAACATCGCACTTGAGAGCGTATCACATCAACTGTGGGCTGCAGAACAGAAAAGCATAAATACAAGCAAGAAGGCATGGAATTCTGTGGATATGAAAGCGCAATTTGAAGCTTCAGGGTGTGATGAAAATATCCGCATGCACAAGTCAGGAAGCTGAATGACAGAAGGTATTTTTCTTCCACACCCAAAACACCTACAGTATGTCGGAGAGAGGGGGTCTCCCGCGGACTGGGGGCACACCATCTCCACAAATGCAGCCGTCCAAGACCGTCACCATCGTCCCGAACCGTCCGGTTCAAATGAACCTGTATGCGACCTGGGAAATTGATCGCTCATCTCCAAGCTGTGTGCCCAGGTATGGCCGCCTAAACACCATGGCTAGTTCTGACAGTCGAGGTTTCCAGTCGGGATCAGATCACATTATTATTACGTTTCTACATATAGGCTATCGGCTTCTGCGGTCAGATGTAGGCTTAGGGATGCTATTGAATCAGGGTGAAGAAGTCACCTGTTTTCCCCTCAAGATAAGTTAAATAGGAAGTTAGAATAAAAGGTACAATAAAAGTTCTAAAAATGTATGCGTTAATGAAAAGAACATTCAATAATATTATTAAAGTTGAAATAAATAGCATACTTCTGTATTTGCCTTTGAATAATGCACATTTTGCACTGCTGCAATTTACTGTAAATATGACAGCTATTTTTGTTTTAAACCATCAGGTCAGGTGATTGCAACTGTAAATTACGGTGTGCTAGTCACATAGATAGACTTAGCCTGTAGTGATAGATTAGTGCTGATGGTAGTGAATATTAGGGAGTGTCTTTAAAGGGGCAATCTGTAGTTCAAACAATGATTTCCCCTTTAAAAGGAAGAGATCATTCAACTCTACAATGAAAAACAATATTTGGAGGACCATGGTTATGAAGAAGGAGCATCATGAAGTGCAAGATCATGACTGACCAGGATGTAAAGGTTCCAAATCAACATATCCCTGAGCAGTTGGGGAAACAGGCAGGGTGCCATAGACAGCTGCTCCTAAACCCCACAGGAAAACAACATGCTGTCAGAATAAATAATGATACAGCGCAGTATATACTTAGAAGCAAGAGATTTGCTAATACTTATATGCCGGTATACATACGCCTACGGACTGTTGCTAATCAGGGCCTACTCCTCCATTATGACTTTTAACAGATTATAGCAATGTTACATTTTTTAATATTGTTCAAATGTAGCTGATACTGCTTTTTGTCTTCCTCGGAATTGTTAGGTGTTCGATGTAGGCTAGCAATAGAAAAGAGGGGGCAGGAGTGGGGGTGGGGGTGGATTCTAGAAGGACCCCTGTAAAGGCTGCCTGCGGGGGTGCTCTCTCTGGCAGGGAAAAGGGAGAGAGGACGTGGGTGGATTTGAAGAAGAGCTGGTTGAAAATGATTTGATCCTCTTAAAGTGGTCCACACACTGTGGTGAGCTCTGAAAATAGTATGTTGACAACTTTTTCTTTCTTTCATGTATGGAAAACATGAAGCTGGGCTTTTGGCCTTGACGGTGGGGGATCTCTTGTTTCCTCCCTCTGATTATAATAATGATTTGGTGGGTGCTTAAATTTTTTCTATTTCACACGTTTTTCACCTTGTCAGCGCAGGGATTCAAACTAGCAACCTTTCAATTACTGGCCCAACGATCTAACCGCAAGGCTACCTGCCACCCATTTTTAATTCTCAGAAAAGTCCTTATTTAAAGGAGAATGCACCTCATCATATGTTATCTATTTGTACAAATGCAATTAAAAAGGAGCCTGGTTGGCTTATAATCCCTTTAGATACACTATATACAGTGCATTCGGAAAGTATTCAGACCCCTTGACTTTGTCCACATTTTGTTACGTTACAGCCTTATTCTAAAATTGATTAAATAAAAAATTGTCCTCATCAATCTACACACAATACCCCATAATTACAAAGTGAAAACAGGTTTTTAGAAATATTAGCACATAAATAAAAAATACATTATTTACATAAGTATTCAGACCCTTTGCTATTAGTCGCAAAATTGAGCTCAGGTGCATCCTGTTTCCATTGATCATCCTTGAGATGTTTCTACAACTTGATTGGAGTCCACCTGTGGTAAATCCAAATCATGTCCAATCAATTGAAAAGGCACACACCTGTCTATATAAGGTCCCACAGTTGACAGTGCATGTCAGAGCAAAAACCAAACCATGAGGTCGAAGGAATTGTCCGTAGAGCTCCGAGACAGGATTGTGTCGAGGCACAGATCTGGGGAAGGGTACCAAAAAATGTCTGCAGCATTGAAGGTCCGCAAGAACAGAGTGACCTCCATCATTCTTAAATGGAAGAAGTTTGGAACCACCAAGACTCTTCCTAGAGCTGGCCACCCGGCCAAACTGAGCAATCGGGGGAGAAGGGCCTTGGTCAGGGAGGTGACCAAGAACCCGATGGTCTCTGACAGAAATCTAGAGTTCCTCTGTGGAGATGGGAGAACCTTCCAGAAGGACAACCATCTCTGCAGCACTCCACCAATCAGGGCTTTATGGTAGAGTGGCCAGACGGAAGCCACTCCTCAGTAAAAGGCACATGACAGCCCGCTTGGAGTTTGCCAAAAGGCACTTAAAGACTCTCAGACCATGATAAATAAGATTCTCTGGTCTGATGAAACCAAGATTGAACTCTTTGGCCTGAATGCCAAGTGTCACGTCTGGAGGAAACCTGGCACCATCCCTACGGGGAAGCATGGTGGTGGCAGCATCATGCTGTGGGGATGTTTTTCAGTGGCAGGGACTGGGAGACTAGTCAGGATCGAGGGAAAGATGAACGGAGCAAAGTACAGAGAGATCCTTGATGAAAACCTGCTCCAGAGCGCTCAGGACCTCAGACTGGGTCGAAGGTTCACCTTCCAACAGGACAACGACCCTAAGCACACAGCCAAGACAACACAGGAGTGGCTTCGGGACAAGTCTCTGAATGTCCTTGAATGGCCCAGCCAGAGCCCGGATTTGAACCCGATCTAACATCTCTGGAGAGACCTGAAAATATATGTGCAACCTGACAGAGATTGAGAGGATCTGCAGAGAAGAATGGGAGAAACTCTTGTACTTACAGGTGTGCCAAGCTTGTAGCGTCATACTCAAGAAGACTCGAGGCTGTAATCGCTGCCAAAGGTGCTTCAACAAAGTACTCAGTAAAGGGTCTGAATACCTATGTAAATGTGTAAAAACCTGTTTTTGCTTTGTCATTATTGTGTGTAGATTGATGAGGAGAAAGAAAAAAGTTTTGTCCATTTCAGAATAACAACATGTGGAAAAGGTTAAGGGGTCTGAATACTTTCTGAATGCACTGTTTATATACAAAAGTATGTGGACATATCTTCAAATTAATGAATTTGGCTATTTCAGCCACACCTGTTGCTGACAGATGTATAAAATCAAGCACACAGCCATGCAATCTCCATAGACAAACATTGGCAGTAGAATGGCCTTACTGAAGAGCTCAGTGACTTTCAACGTGGCACTGTTATAAGATGCCACCTTTCCAACAAGTCAGTTCGTCAAATTTCTGCCCTACTAGAGCTGCCCAGGTCAACTGTAAGTGCTGTTATTGTGAAGTGGAAACGTCTAGGAGCAACAACGGCTCAGCCACGAAGTGGTAGGTCACACAAGCTCACAGAACGGGACCGCCGAGTGCTGAAGCGCGTAGCTCATAATAATTGTCTGTCCTCACTACCGAGTTCCAAACTGCCTCTGGAAGCAATGTCAGCACAAGAACTGTTAGTCGGGAGCTTCATGAAATGGGTTTCCATGGCCGAGCAGCCGCACGCAAGCCTAAGATCACCAGGTGCAATGCCAAGCATCGGCTGGAGTGGTGTAAAGCTCACCGCCATTGAACTCTGGAGCAACTGTAAAGTTTGGTGGAGGAGGAATAATGGTTCCAGTGAAGGGAAATCTTAACACTGCAGCATACAATTTACATTCTAGACGATTCTGTGCTTCCAACTTTGTGGCAACAGTTTGGGGAAGGCCCTTTCCTGTTTCAGCCTGACAATGCCCTCGTACACAAAGCGAGGTCCATACAGAAATGGTTTGTCGAGATCGGTGTGGAAGAACTTGACTGGCATGCACAGAGCCCTGACCTCAACCCCATCGAACACCTTTGGGATGAATTGTGACGCCGACTGCGAGCCAGGCCTAATTGCCTAACATCAGTGCCCGACCACACTAATGCTCTTGTGGCTGAATGGAAGCAAGTCCCCGCAGCAATGTTCCAACATCTAGTGGAAAGCCTTCCCAGAAGACTGGAGGCTGTTATAGCAGCAAAGGGGGGACCAACTCCATATTAACGCCCATGATTTTGGATGAGCAGGTGTCTACATACTTTTGGTAATGCAGTGTATTTCTATTTAGCCTATAGTGCCATATCTGTTTGGCATTTGGCTTTTAGTGAGTATATACATTATTACCCAGAAATCTCCTAACCCAATCAGCTGTTCTCTGGTAGCCCTTTCCAGTCCCTCTCTCTCACTAATGGTGTAGTGAGTAGAGAGGCCAAGGTTTGTAGGGAATTTTATATTTAATTAGGGAGGAACAGCAGATAAGGCTTTTGATGAAGGGTCAAAGCGTAGTATATTTTTAACACAAGTCACCCTCTCCTATTACCCAATATTTGTGACTTGAGGCTAAGAATCAACAATGAGGCTGTAGACCTAGTTGTGTGTTTGGAGGCCATAGTGGCTTCTACCTCGAGAGGACGACAATCTTTAGTTTCTCCTTGAATGTTCTGTCTGGCTGGCTCTCATCTACACAGATGAATCCCAGCCAGCCAATCTGTCTCTGCTCTGTCCAAAAAGAAGTACTTCGAACCACTAACGGCCCTGATCTGTGATTTATGTCCAGAGCCTAATATTCCTAAAGTGCTTTTGTTGGCCACAAACCTCACCGAACGATTCCCGCTTACAATTTGCAATACAAATCTAGGGTGATACCCTACCAGTCTCAGCCAACATTTGTAAAAGATTTGTCATTGTCAAGGACTAGACTGATACTTTCTCCGCTCATGTTGTTGGTTCCTATTCACTGAATTCACAGACTAAACAGAGAAATATGAATATCCCCTTTTCTCCCCTTAAACCCAGGCTCTTCACAGTTACTCTGAAGAAGCTGGTGATGCTTCAGGAGCTGGACAGAGACCTAACCTCTGTTGTCATCGCAGTCAAACTCCAGGTGACGCTCTTCACACACACCCTTCCCTCTTCACAAAGTATACATAGATATAGCTAGCTACAGTAGTAGGACGTTTTGCAGAAGTACATTCTTTAGTTTTTATCACTCATTATAAACTGGGTGGTTTGAGCCCTGAATGCTGATTGGCTGAAATGGGTATGACAAAACATTTATTTTTACTGCTCTAATTACGTTGATAACCAGTTTATAATAGCAATAAGGCACCTTGGGGGTTTATGGAATATGGCCAATATACCACACCCCCTCAGGCCTTATTGCTTAAATACACTAGTGACTAATCAGAACCTTTTTATCTGTAATCCATGGATAATATATGCAGGATATAGATGTATAACGTGTGTGGAATATCCTCTTAGGGATCAAAGCGCATTTTACGGTCCAATGAAATCCTGTTGTCATCGCCTGGACTTACTGAGACTGATCTTCAGCTAACGTTCTCCTTGCAAGTGAGTTACCATGGGGAGTTTGCACAGACAGTTATGTGTATGCAAATGGCCAGTGGATGAGAGGCAGACGCTTTTTAAAATGTTCTAGAGATTCTATTTTTAGTGCATGATTTAAGTGCCTTTCTGATTCTGTCAACCTCGCCATCTCTCATCTTTACTTCCTCCAGTATCCACATTTTTTGAAGCGAGATGCCAACAGACTGCAGATCATGCTGCAGAGGAGGAAGAGGTACAAGAACCGTACCATCCTGGGCTATAAGACCCTGGCACTGGGCCTCATCAACATGGCAGAGGTAAGGCCGTCATTGTAGGCTGTCATTGTAAATAAGAATTTGTTCTTAACTGACTTGCCAAGTTAAATAAAAAATCAAAGTAAGTGGGCGACACCTCACCGCAGCTGTTAACTGCAATGATTACGATCATTCAGGCTTTTGTTTGTATAACACGCCATTCAGCATCTGTACTCCTGTCTCTCTTTTGTCTCCTGTCCTTTCCCTCTCTCTCTCTCTCTCTTGCAATTGTCGCCCCCAATCTCTCTCGCTCCCTTTCTCTCTCTGACCCCCCTTCCTCTCTCTCCTCCCCAGGTGATGCAGCACCCCAGTGAGGGAGCCCGTGTGTTGGGTCTCCACACCACTGTGAAGGACACGGCTGTGCCTGTGGCTGAGATGAGGGTCTACTCGCTCTCCAGCCAGCCCATCGACCACGAGGTGTCCAAGGCCAAGATGTCTGGTAAGTGAGACACAGAGTGAGAGACAAGGGGACAGGCTCGAGGAAGATAAGGCCTTGAACAGGGAATCAGAACAGTTTTTTAAATATTGGGGAATGTGCTTATATGGAATTGTCTGTAAATATCCAGAATATCAGTGTATTGAACAGTTCAACATGTACATGCCACACCATGGTCGGGCAGTGGAATCATCCATGTTTTGAGAGAGTCATCCACTGCTTTGCCCATATGACACAAGGTTTAAATAGTCTTCTCATCATACTGTATCTTCCCCCATCCCACACCAATACATAACACATCTCCTCTCTGGCTCCCTGGAACTCACAGACCGCTCCCCTGACATCGACAACTACTCGGAGGAAGACGAGGAGAGCTATTCATCAGAGCAGGACGGGAGTGATGACCCTGCTCACAGCCAGGTATGGAGGAGGAGGAGAGGGGGAGTGACGCTCAGAAAGATACCACACTGCTTCAATACAAGCATTTGAGCCGGTTTACAGTAGAGTGGATGGAGAGTTTGTCCGGTTTGAGCACGAAGTTGATCCACTCTCTGTTTTCAGTATCTGTTCGACGAAGAGGATGACATGAGGAAGAAGAAGCACAGACACAAACTCACCTCTGCAGCCTCCATCACCAGAGCTCATGTAAGCATTCAGTCTACTGATCTGTCTGTCTCTGTGCCGTTGGGACTACCTGCCTCTCTCCTAGTCAACCGGTTTTATATGTGTGTGTTCCTTTAACTCAGCAGCCCAACATCAAGCAGAAGTTTGTGGCCTTGTTGAAGAGGTTTAAGGTGTCTGATGAGGTGGACTTTGGCCTGGAGCACGTGTCCCAGGAGCACATTCGGGATGTGGAGGAGGATCTGGATGAGCTCTATGACAGTCTGGAGATGTACAACCCCAATGACAGCGGACCAGAGATGGAGGAGACGGACAGCGTCCTCAGCACACCCAAACCCAAACTCAGGTCATGAGAAGTCGGACTTATCTGTAGGTAACAGAAATGTATGTTCTGACAAACATCCACTTAACAGAACTCTGGGCAATCTCTCCTCTCTCTGAATGTTCAGGCCCTTCTTTGAGGGCATGTCCCAGTCCAGCTCGCAGACCGAGTTTGGCAGTCTGAACAGCAGGTGCAGTCTGCCAAGAGACACCCTGAGCCCAGTGAGTAGAGTAGAGTAGAGTACAGTATAGGAGGATGGCTGGCCTTCTAAGTCCAGATGTCCCCCTGCACTCCCTCTGACCACTGTTTTCCTGCTGTCTGACTTGTAGCAAGGAGAGCAGCCCCCATCAGGCAAGATGAAACGCACTCGCTCTCGCAACGTGGACGACTCTGAGACAGACACCCTGGTGAGACCCTCTAACTCCCCACACACACACACACGTGTATTTCAGTGTTTTGAGGCCTCTACAGTGTTAGGATGTGTTTCTGTCTGGCTGTCTGTTGGTGTGTTTAGGAGCTGACTGATCCGGAGATGTTTCTGGACACGACCCCCTGCATCACAGTCTCTGTCCCAGAGCAGCTACCCAGGACCCCAATGAGAGAACTAAGGAGTAGTAAGAGTGAGAGCCACACCAGCATGCCCCACACCACCATGCCCTCCCCCAGGTCAGTCGAACACACACACACACACCTTAAAACACACACACACAAAACCGTGACAAGGCAAAAATCTGTTGTTCTGCCCCTGAGCAAGGCAGTTAACCCACTGTTCTCCGGGTACCGATGACGTGGATGTGGAGTAAGGCAGCCCCCTGCACCTCTCTGATTCAGAGGGGTTGGGTTAAATGTGGAAGACACATTTCAGTTGAATGTATTCAGTTGTATCCCCCTTTCCCGTCCCCTTTCAGTGCTACACATGCACTCCCCCACTTTCTGCCATAGTCATATTTTCTGTGTGGGCACTGACTCAGTCAGTGAGTAGGTGTGTGTGTTTTTTCCAGGTTGGATGGTGGGCACACACCCAGGCAGAGACGTGGGACACCAATGAAGGAGAGGCGAGCGCTGTCCAAACCACTAAGCGAACGCACCAACAGCTCTGACAGTGAAAGGTCACCAGAGCTCAGCCACACCCCACAGGTGACCCCTCACCCTAACCAGAGCTAGTCCGTACCCATACTAACCATGTAGCTGAGACTGGTCTTTAAATGTGGATGCTTTGTTTGCAGAGGGTGATCCTGAGTGGTGGTGATCCTGTTGCAGGTGCCCCCCCCCATCCCCTCCAGCTTGCGGGCAAAACATTTAGTCGACCCCCTCTTGGCAGTGGAGAAATGAATGTGCAGCTTTAAAGCTAACACAAATTTTGCCATGGGGCGAAGAGAAAATGTTGCGGTTTTAAAATACATTTTCTGCAATTTACACATTTTGCCATTCGACAGAGAGAAGATTTTGCAGTTTTAAAGCTAATTCCCTGCAATTCTACACATTCAGTCATGGGGGTGGAGATTTTTTTTGCAGTTTTAAAGCTAATTTCCAGCAATTCTACACATTCTGCCATTACATGACAGGTTTATATGATCTCTGAGTGAGACTGACTAACAAAATCAATGGGGGACCTCAGGAGGTCAGGGCCACTGGCCTCGTGCCTTGCGCGCCCGGTCAGTAATTCAGCCATGACATACTACATACTAACGTTTATATAGCTGGCTAGACTAACTTACCTAGCAATCTTTAAAATGTGAGCTGACATGGGCTAATGGTGTGACTCAGTGACTGACATTACAAGAGGAAAACTATTCTTACTCTCAACAGGAAGTTAAGACCCCCAATTGACTCCTCGCTACAGCTGCGTACAGGCACAGCACTCTCCTGTTGTGTTGATCTATTTCATTGAAGCATGTGTGTGTCCAGTTTGTGACTATGTATTTGACTATGCCAATATTTGACTTGTGTTCGACGCGTGTGTCTGTGTGTGTGCGGGCGTGTTGGTAGGTGCCCAGGAAGGCTGTATATGACCAGCTGAATCAGATCTTCTCCTCAGACACTACCCTCCCAGACAGCCTGGTCCTGGTCAACACCAGCGATTGGCAGGGACAGGTAATCTTCACTCCTCCCTTTCTATCTTCACCACCATTATCTCACTCCTCCACTCCCTGTGTACATATTTACTTGCGTATGTGTGTTAATCGGTGTCTATATGTTTGTGGTAAACATGTGCGTAGTATGTGTCCGAGGTGCTGCTGTCCCAGAAGCAGCCAGTAGTGTGTACCTGCTGTGGGGTGGAGATTCAGGCTGTCCTCACCACCCTCCTCACGCGCATCCAAAAGTTGTGAGTAGCCAAAGACTCAATACTCGCTGGTTGAAGTTATTGTGTAGTAATGAAGGTGACCTATGATGAGCCTGTTCTATTGTGCTCCACTAACCTGCCCTCCCCTCCCCTCAGCTGTAACTGTAACTCGTCCACTCCGCGGCCGGTCAAGGTGGTGGTGGCAGGGGGACAGAGCTACCTGGGGGCCATCCTGCACTTCTTTGTCACTCAGCTGGCCAACAAAACATCTGATTGGCTCAGCCTAATCCGCTTCCTGGTGGTCCCCCTGGGTGAGAGAGAGACAGGTTCAGGTTCCTAGAGCAGTAATATATGCCATTTTACTAGAAGATAAGTATTATACAATGTGACTGCTGTAAGATGCATCCCACTGGGCACACCACGTCATTTCAACGTGGATAATTGGGTAATATTTGGTTGAGATGTTGATCAATGAGATTACAACCTACAGTATATTCACCCACTCAAAATTACAGCCAAAAAGTTAGTTCAATTTCCAATGTGTTATCACTATGATTTCAACCATCTAAAAGCACAACCACATTCCAATGGATAAACAATGTCAGATTTTTGGTTTAGTTGTCACCCAAAGGTCTATCACTTCGCTTTCAACCATTTAAAAGCACAGCAAAGTTCAAATGGGAATACAATGTCAGATATTTTGTTTATTTATACAACAGATTAATGTGTTATCACTGTGCTTCATACAATAGCCGAACCAAATGACCAGGATTGCAGTTGAGATTACATTAAAAGTACATGATGCAAGTGATCAATGCCGTTTGAGATTCTGCACAGATTATTACAGCAATTGTGAAGATCTCCACCGACTGTGATGACCTATATGCATGCTATCTTGGAACATGCACACTATAGGATTACATAAGAAGACATTTATTTTTACAGTCATCTCAGGCCATGGATGTGTTACTCATTTTAAGGTTGAACGTTACATTAGTTTGTAAAATAGCCTTAACTTTAGGCTATTTACTGGATTACAAAAGTAATATTGAATTGTGTTTGGTTGTCAACGCAACCAAATATCAACATTTTAAACTGATGTATCTTCTGCTTGGATAGTTCAATCTGTGCCACTGACTTAGTCTGGCATTAATTCCATTTTGTCTACAAATTAATAATTGATATGTTGTATTCACGTCTCCATCTCAACCAAAAATCACGTAGATTCCACATTCCAATATGTTGACAAATTACGTTGAAACAACCTTGATTCAACCAGTTTGTGCCCAGTGGGATATTATGGGACATATCTAGCATGGTTATGTAATGCTTATATATAAGCCTCTTCAGCTGAAGCATAAACAAAGATTTACAAAAACACCCACTCTCATGTTCTGTTACCTCCTCCTGACAATGAGTTGCTCCAGTCATTACGTCACATGCAGCTGAAGTGAAGTACAGTAGAGCTGCTCTGCTCAGAGCTGCTGTACTGAGTGGGTTGGGTGTGTGTGATCCGTGACTCACTGTGGCTTCCTCTACTCTGCCTCCAGGCTGTCACCCCGTAGCTAAGCACCTGGCCTCCCTGGACCCTCGCTACAGCGCCGTGTTCCTGGACAATGCCTGGAGAGACCTGTTCAGCCGCCTGGAGCCCCCTCACTCTAGTAAACACCACACTGCTCTCTCTCTCTTTTTCTCTCTCGCTCTCTCTCTCTCTCTCTCTCTGTGACCATGCGAGCTCTCTACTGCTCTCTCGTCACATCAACCTACCCTTCTCCATTTCCCATGAGCACCAAGTACAAACATTTCCATTTAAACTTATGAGTGCGCAATTCGTTTGTGCTATTAGCGGCAACACAGACTGAAGGACTATTTCATTTCAGTTATTAAAAACAATATTTATTTATTATTTTATTTCACCTTTATTTAACCAGGTAGGCCAGTCGAGAACAAGTTCTCATTTACAACTGCGACCTGGCCAAGATAAAGCAAAGCAGTGCGATAAAAACAACAACACAGAGTTACATATGGGGTAAAACAAAACATAAAGTCAAAAATACAACAGAAAATATATATACAGTGTGTGCAAATGTAGCAAGTTATGGAGGTAAGGCAATAAATAGGCCATAGTGCAAAATAATTACAATTAGTATTAACACTGGAATGATAGATGTGCAAGAGATGATGTGCAAATAGAGATACTGGGGTGCAAATGAGCAAAATAAATAACAATATGGGGATGAGGTAGTTGGGTGGGCTAATTTCAGATGGGCTGTGTACAGTTGCAGTGATCGGTAAGCTGCTCTGACAACTGATGCTTAAAGTTAGTGAGGGAGATAAGAGTCTCCAACTTCAGAGATTTTTGCAGTTCGTTCCAGTCATTGGCAGCAGAGAACTGGAAGGAATGGCGGCCAAAGGAGGTGTTGGCTTTGGGGATGACCAGTGAGATATACCTGCTGGAGCGCATACTACGAGTGGGTGTTGCTATGGTGACCAATGAGCTAAGATAAGGCAGGGATTTGCCTAGCAGTGATTTATAGATGGCCTGGAGCCAGTGGGTTTGGCGACGAATATGTAGTGAGGACCAGCCAACAAGAGCGTACAGGTTACAGTGGTGGGTAGTATATGGGGCTTTGGAGACAAAACGGATGGCACTGATATAGACTACATCCAATTTGCTGAGTAGAGTGTTGGAGGCTATTTTGTAAATGACATCGCCAAAGTCAAGGATCGGTAGGATAGTCAGTTTTACGAGGGCATGTTTGGCAGCATGAGTGAAAGAGGCTTTGTTGCGAAATAGGAAACCGATTCTAGATTTAACTTTGGATTGGAGATTCTTAATGTGAGTCTGGAAGGAGAGTTTACAGTCTAACCAGACAAAATATGCTTTATTTTACAAATGTAATTAATTATACATTTCTCTCTCCCTCTCTCTACACACATTTAAAACTACACAACACTTCTACTGAGCTGGTAGCATTCGAGCATGTGTCTTTGGGAACTTGATCTGCCTTGATCAGCATATGAATGGTATTTGACTAGAACACTCTCTCTCTGCAAGCTACCCCATATCTTCTTTAGTTAGGGGGTTAGCCAGTTCAGATCCAGTCAGCCTTGCTCTCCCTACAGATTGACTCAGGCTTAACGTCTGTTCCCCTCCCCTCCCAGCGGCTCCAGCTGTAGATGGTGTCGACGTGGCAGGGAGGATCAGCCAGTACATCAGCAGTGTCTCTGTCACACACCAGCTGCCTATCGCTGAGGCCATGCTCACCTGCAAGTACAAGACGTGAGTGGGAGTGGCCTGCATGGCTAATTTACACTGAGTGGACAAAACATTATGAACATGACAGACTGACCAGGTGAATCCAGGTGAAAGATATGATCCCCTTGTTGATGTCACTTGTTAAATCCACTTCAATGGGTGTATGGGGTGCAACTCAAAATTAGGAAGGTGTTCTTAATGTTTTCTACACTCAGTTTATATGACGTTAATGTTAATCAGGTATGTTTTAGGAAGACAAACATTTTATTGGCCACCCATTATTTCCACCCTTCCAGATACGACGAAGACTCTTACCAGAAATTTGTTCCCTTTGTTGGGGTAAGTAAGTCAGTACTGATGGTTTTCATCAATACTGATGTTGAGGCAGTCAATTTGGCAAACGCCTCTATCATAATTATTGCTTCAATGTAAACCAACAGATAAGGGATATCCAAACTATTCCCAAGTACAACCCTGGAGTGTAAGGCTGATACTGACTAACTGATCCCTGTGTGTGAAACAGGTGGTGAAAGTAGGGTTGATTGAACCGAATCTGGCGTATTCAGGTGGGTTCATATTTCTGGACTACCTATTGTCTGTTAACGTTCACCTTTCTCTCTCCAGGCTGTCCCTGGGCAGTGTTAAGGACTGTGTTGATTTGGGCCTACAGGTGGAGACACTGAGGAGCCTGTTAGTGTTACCTTGGCTGTTCCCTCCACCTCCCCACCTGCCCATGGATCTCCCACAGGGATGACCAGAGAGGCTGTCACCCCACCCCCGTCTCCCTCCCTGAGCAGCGGTCTGGGGTAAGACAACCACAGTGTACAACAGTCTTTCATGACAAGTTCATTCCCATCCCCGCAGTTACACACATTTCTGAGTACATTGTTGAGCAATAGTTGTTTTTGGGGTACACGGGGAGGAAAAAGAGAGAGAGCGAGACGAGAGAAGAGAGATGAGAGAGAGAGCGCGAAGCGAGAGAGAGAGAGAGAGCGAGAGCGACTAAGAGAGAGAGCGAGATAGGGCGGAGAGCTCTATAGAATCTATCTCTCTTCTATGTTCATCTCATCATGTCACTCTTTTCCGGTCCTTCTTATCTCTCTCTCATCTTCTCTCTCTCTCTCTCCTCTTTCTCACAGGAGCCCTAATATGTCCCATGGGGTGGACACCATTGGGCTGACGGTGGATTACTGGGTAGCAACATGCTCAGAGCGGAAAAAGGAGGGGGAGCGGTGTGACAAGGGCTCCAAGAACACCCTGAAGAGTGCCTTCCTCTCCTTGCAGGTCAGCAGGCTGCCAGGAGGGGGCTCCACTGAGAACCAGCCCCAGGCCAACACCATGTCCATGACCGTGGTCACCAAGGAGAAGAACAAGAAAGGTGAGGAGGGCGGCTGGACTAGGAGTGGGGAAATAGTGGACTGTCCACCACATGCAGTTTGTCCAGCAACTCATTTGGGGTAATAACTAAATAAATGTACTAACTGGAATGAGAACCATGCAATGGATGCATGCTGTTAAGTGTTTTGGTTTGAACCCTCTCTGTGTGCTCATCTGCTCCGTATCCAAAGTCTCCACCATATTCCTGGGAAAGAAGCCCAGAGAGAGGGATGTAGACTGTAAAAGCCAGGTGGTTGAGGGCATCACCAGACTCATCTGTTCTACCAAGCAGCAGCAGACCAGCCTAAAAGGTACACCCCTCTGGGCACGCCACATCATTTCAACGTGGACATTTGGGTAATATTTGGTTGAGACATTGATCAATGAGATTTCAACCTTTATTCACCCACTCAAAAAGACAGACAGAAGTTTGTTGAATTGTGTTGTCACTATTCTTTCAACAATCTAAAAGCACAAATGGGAATACAATGACAGATATTTTGTTTATTTATACAACAATGTAATGTGTTATCACTGTGCTTCATCTAATAGCACAACCAAATGACCAGGATTGCAGTTGAGTTTACATTGAAAGTACATAGTGCAAGTAATCAATGCTGTTAGAGACTCTGTGCAGATTATAATAGCAATTGTGAAGATCTCTACAGACCTGCAACCTTTGCATGCTATCTTGAACATGCACGCCTTCTATGATTACAGAATACTTTTATAGTTACATTAACCTCAATGTGGCCATGGATTTTAAGGTTGAATAAATACTGTTACATTAGTTTCTAAGATAGCCTTAACTTGTGGGCTTTTTACAGTATTGCAAAAGTTGTATTTAATTGTTTGGTTGTCTACGCCACCAAATATCAACATTTGAAGGAGATGTATTTTTTGTGCCACTGACTTAGTCTGGCTTTAATTCCAGTTTGTCTACAAATTAATAATTAATATGTTGGCTTCACGTCTCCATCTGAACCAAAAATCTAAGTTAAAGAATAGGACTAAATCAAATCAAACTTGATTTAAAGTGCATTTAAAATTTGATTTGATTTAGTCCTATTCTTTAACTTAGATTTTTGGTTGAGATGGAGACGTGAAGCCAACATATCAATTATTAATTTGTAGACAACTTGAAGATTACATTTGAAATCAACTAAAGGTTAAAACCCTAGCCCTATATGTATTATCTATTTTAAGTTGAATCCTGGGTTGAATTGAAACAATAGCTGTTGATGACTTCGCAAATACTACATACAGTGGGGAGAACAAGTATTTGATACACTGCCGATTTTGCAGGTTTTCCTTCTTACAAAGCATGTAGAGGTCTGTAATTTTTATCATAGGTACACTTCAAATGTGAGAGACGGAATCTAAAACAAAAATCCAGAAAATCACATTGTATGATTTTTAAGTAATTAATTTGCATTTTATTGCATGACATAAGTATTTGATACATCAGAAAAGCAGAACTTAATATTTGGTACAGAAACCTTTGTTTGCAATTACAGAGATCATACGTTTCCTGTAGGTCTTGACCAGGATTGCACACACTGCAGCAGGGATTTTGGCCCACTCCTCCATACAGACTTTCTCCAGATCCTTCAGGTTTCGGGGCTGTCGCTGGGCAATACGGACTTTCAGCTCCCTCCAAAGATGTTCTATTGGGTTCAGGTCTGGAGACTGGCTAGGCCACTCCAGGACCTTGAGATGCTTCTTACGGAGCCACTCCTTAGTTGCCCTGGCTGTGTGTTTCGGGTCGTTGTCATGCTGGAAGACCCAGCCACGACCCATCTTCAATGCTCTTACTGAGGGAAGGAGGTTGTTGGCCAAGATCTCACGATACATGGCCCCATCCATCCTCCCCTCAATACGGTGCAGTCGTCCTGTCCCCTTTGCAGAAAAGCATCCCCAAAGAATGATGTTTCCACCTCCATACTTCACGGTTGGGATGGTGTTCTTGGGGTTGTACTCATCCTTCTTCTTCCTCCAAACACGGCGAGTGGAGTTTAGACCAAAAAGCTATATTTTTGTCTCATCAGACCACATGACCTTCTCCCATTCCTCCTCTGGATCATCCAGATGGTCATTGGCAAACTTCAGACGGGCCTGGACATGCGCTGGCTTGAGCAGGGGGACCTTGCGTGCGCTGCAGGATTTTAATCCATGACGGCGTAGTGTGTTACTAATGGTTTTCTTTGAGACTGTGGTCCCAGCTCTCTTCAGGTCATTGACCAGGTCCTGCCGTGTAGTTCTGGGCTGATCCCTCACCTTCCTCATGATCATTGATGCCCCACGAGGTGAGATCTTGCATGGAGCCCCAGACCGAGGGTGATTGACCGTCATCTTGAACTTCTTCCATTTTCTAATAATTGCGCCAACAGTTGTTGCCTTCTCACCAAGCTGCTTGCCTATTGTCCTGTAGCCCATCCCAGCCTTGTGCAGGTCTACAATGTTATCCCTGATGTCCTTACACAGCTCTCTGGTCTTGGCCATTGTGGAGAGGTTGGAGTCTGTTTGATTGAGTGTTTGGACAGGTGTCTTTTATACAGGTAATGAGTTCAAACAGGTGCAGTTAATACAGGTAATGAGTGGAGAACAGGAGGGCTTCTTAAAGAAAAACTAACAGGTCTGTGAGACCCAGAATTCTTACTGGTTGGTAGGTGATCAAATACTTATGTCATACAATAAAATGCAAATTAATTACTTAAAAATCATACAATGTGATTTTCTGGATTTTTTTTTTTTCCACCAACGTCATGATTTCCCACAGTTGAAGTGTACCTATCATAATAATTACAGACCTCTACATGCTTTGTAAGTAGGAAAACCTGCAAAATCGGCAGTGTATCAAATACTTGTTCTCCCCACTGTATAGGCCTAAATAGTATCATTGATGATATAGGACATAAAGTATGGTTACATTTCATTTGCTCTGTTAAACCTTCCCTTTGGAATGACTTCGATAGCAACAGTGAATCTATTTAGTTATTAAGAGATCTCTCAATAATCATTCTCACGATTGCACATTGGTAGAAGTCATTGACAAATATCAAAGCTAAGCAGTGCTGGGCACCCTTGGATGGGAGACCAAAGTGATAGCTGTAAATATATCAACTCTCCAGTAGGAGGTGCTGCCCAGGTTTGTCTATGTTAAATTGGTTACCATTAAATTTCCCCCTCAACTTCAAATCCAGTGTATTTCCCACGTAGATTCCACGTCACAATATGTTGACAAATGACTTTGAAACAACGTTGATTCAACCAGTTTGTGCCCAGTGGGACTGAGCCCGCCTACTGTAGGTTCAGATTTAACATGATTGGTTATTTTTAGGTGGTTGTAGATGGGAGTCATGAAACTATTGGTTATTTTTCAGTGTCTGTGGACGGCGTGGAGTGGACTGATGTGAAGTTCTTCCAGCTGGCTGCCCAGTGGCCCACCCATGTGAAGTACCTGCCAGTGGGGCTGTTTGGGTACAACAAGACCTCCACCTAGAGGCTAAACCAGACATGGTCACTCACTCTGTGCTTCCTGGGCACCAAGGTTATTATAGTTTTGTGTTTTTATATACATTTTAATTTCTGTTAGTTTTTAGATTTTTGTTTGAAATTCAGTTTAGTTTCAGTTCGTTTTCAGACCTGATATACTAGTTTTATTTATTTATTATTTAATTTTTATATTATTTATTTTAGTGTTAGTAGCAGATTTCTTCCTTGTTAGCTAGTGATAACTAGTGATAGTGATGAACAAGCTAGGCCTATTTGAAACCTCACCATCCACTGGCAGCACTTACCTGCCATGTTCAGAAGCTTGAAAACCCCATTAGAAGAAAACATTATTTTTATTTTTTTTGCCCAAAGTTTAGAAGAAAAAAACCTCAAACTAAACATTATTTATGATGGCTTTTATTTTATTTTAGTACATTTTGGAGTCAAAGATAATAGTTTCAGTAGTTTTAGTTTTCAAACGGGTTTGTTAATTCTTTTATTTCAGTTTATGAAATAGTTTTTTCATGTTTTCGTATTTTGTTTTTACTACAATAACCTTGCTGGGCACCATATCAGCTGTCTAAAATGGAGGTCACTGGACAGAAAGCCATTGATTAAAGATAATTATTACATGACTAAGGAGAGTTGTTACATGTCTAAGGAGAGTTGTTACATGACGACATGGATTGACAGCAGTAATGGATTGGGGCCATAGATTTAATACTTGCCATGTTCCTATTTTCTAAGGTGGGTTCACCTGACAAAATAACTAGTTGCCCTCGTTTGAGATGTTTTTCCTCTTTCATATCCTTTATATGTGGCTTCCTTCAGTGGCTTGGCAAGGTTAACTCCAGCTGTTCTTGTGGCTGTGTTGTACTGTTGTACTTATTTTTTCAAGCAGAGTGTTATGTGAAGCAAACTTCAGTGGTCATTGATATTATTGATATCATTTCCCTCAGTGGTGTTATTCTAATAAGTGCACTAAAAAAATATGCTGTTTAAAAGTCAGTTTTGTGAAAGTGATATAAATTGATTATCTTATTTACAGAAATGTATTGTGATAATTGGACCTGTTTTCGCAAAAGCCTTACTTTCTTTTCGTTTAGTATTTTTCTGGGAGGTACTGTTACTTTTGTGAGTGTGTGTGTTTGTTTGTGTGTGCACGCCTGTGTGAGAACCCCAAATGCTTGTGGATTTGTGTGTATAGCATGGGTTGTCATACTAGAAGTAAATGCTTAAAACACTACAGAAATCTAGAATATTTGCAGACTCGTCTACATCAAAGCTTGTGGTTGTCAAGCAAGTACTATAATTTGTGCACCGCAGATACACTTTTGTCCCAATGATGTGCTTGAAATGAAGCTTCAGTGTCATCCATAATTTACGGTCATCTTATTTATATTTGTTTTAAAGATTGTTAGAGGAGATTAAATACTTTATTTTCTGTTTTGTCATTAAAGCGTAAAAGACAGAAACATACAAGAAGTTCAAGACAAGGAATTTTTTAAAAATCACATCAATAAATCAAATGAAAACTCAAGTGTATCTGTAACAAAATGTATCCTTATATCAACTTGTCTGATGACAAGTGGGGTGGAGGACACGGTTAGGGTGGGACGACATCTTCAGAGCCAAATGCGTCATGCTCTTGTTTAAACCTTGCGCCACATGACTCATGACCTTTCCACGCTATCTTCAGGAGACTGAGGAGTTTTTGGGGGGCCTGTAAGCTGTTGTACCAAAGATTCAAAGAGTACCACCAAATATCAATGTCAGGTCTAACTGTTAAAGAGAAATGAAGATTGCGAAAGAGGGTAGGAGGAAAGCTGTAGAGAAGGGTATACAAGCATGGGTTGGGAAAATTGAAGTTATTGTAAAAGTGGGAGATTATGGGCAACTCACAATAAGGACATCAACTCAGAAACAGGAGAACATGAGGACAGTTGAACTCAAGCACTTTATTCAGTTGAGATGAGTGTCTGAGATGTCTTTCTACTATCCCCTCCAACCTTCTCCTCATCCTCGCAAACATCCAAATCATACATTCCACATGCATATGACACTAACATGTGTTCATTAACCGAGGACATTCCAATGCATATGCATTATCTCATTGTCTCTCTATACCCTGTCACTTCCTAATACAGTCATGTTCTACCGCATGCTGAACCTCAACTTAAGAAGAAATTGGATGTAGTGATTTGACCCCAACACTGACATTGACGTCGATGACCTCCAAGCTCATTAGGACAGGAGATTTGGATGGAACTAGTGACATAAAATAGCATGCATCAGCACCATTCGCAATCAGCGACATCTGACACCAAGTTCCTTCCTTAAAGTACTTTATTTATTTCCTTCTCCAAAACAAAAGTCGCCTGAGTGATTATGAGGGAAGCTTTGCTCCTAGTGCCCTAGTCAATGAGAATAAAAAACACTTTTTAAAGGTCCTGATACAAGTGCCTTAGTTTAACTACTCACAGTCTACAGTGGCCTTGTTGGGCCAAACATTGCAAATCCTAAACTGCAGACAGTGATGACTATAAGAATCCTGATATTGTGAAAGTTCATATTTGCTCTCTCAAGGGCTGAGTTCTTTCTTGACATGACCAGACACGGTTACTAATGAAGTCCAGGGCATCGGAGCAAAGCCTCCCAGTGAGTTGGGCGGGTGATCTTGGAGTTGGGTGGGTTGGGGTTTTTGGGGGGACGTGTGGTGTACAGTATGTGGGTATGGATGGGACAGGGTAAGGGGAACAGAACAGTAGGGGGTCTGGGTTGTGTTTATAAGTCGCTCTCTCCGTACAGGGCACTGGAGAAGGAGATGTAGTCCAGCGCGCCTGGGGGCGCGTCGCTGCCGATGTACTTGGTCATGCGGCTGATGCAGTAGTCGGCCTGCTCTGGTGGCAGCTCCCTGCGCAGCTCTTCCACTGTGATGTATGTCTGGGAGGGGAGGACACAGGTCAACTAGGGTCATCAAGGGTCACACCACGGACATCACAACACAACCAAAATCAATGGCTCCATGTGACTGAGTTCGCAGAAGAATAGGTGCAATAAGGGTGCCGCCCAACTCACCTTGTCTGAGGCCAGGATCTTGAATGAGGCCATGACCTGATCGGCGGTGTCTGTCTCGGCCGTCTCGCGGGTCATGAAGTCTATGAAGGCCTGGAAGGTGACCACACCTGTGTTGTTGGAATCCACCAACGTCATGATGCGGGCAAACTCCACCTCACCCTGAGGGACACAGAGAGAGAAAGAGAGGGGAAGGAAGAAATTATTATTCAAGTACAACAAATAATTACTCACACAGAGAAACCAAGTGACGGGGTCCTGAACAGTGTTGCCAACAATTTCTGTGAGATCCGCTATTGACTACTTGATTTGTCTCTAGATTAATTCACAGCACCAATTTGCCTTGCAAAAGCTGTGGTCACTGACATAGTGTTTTCACCCCCTCTGCCGCTGCACACCCCCTCCCCTTGTGCTTCTCATCCTGTGTGTGTGCCGTAGTTGTGACTGCTGTTGCACAAACAGCATCTCCCACTCTCATTTGCGGCAGAATTGAGTGGGAAAAGTCACTAAATGCTATCAAAACCATAGAAACCCTCAGTGTCAAAACTCCCTAAAGGCAGCCTGAAAAGTAGCTGAATTTGACGCTAGAATCTTTTACCAATAAAAGTCACTGGAGGGGTCTGAAAAGTCACTAAGCTGTTAAAACTGTTCCTGAAGCAGTCCTACTCACCAGATCGTAGCCCATGGAGATGAGACAGGCACGGAAGTCGTCTGGGTCCATCATACCATTTCTCTTCTACATAAGGAAAAACAAAGATCACTAAGCCACATGGCCAGGAAAGAGATGTAACATTAAAAGGTAACTGATACCTAGCTCAAGCTCTGTCTTACCCTGTCAAAGTGGTTGAAGGAGGCTCTGAACTCGTTGAGCTGCTCCTGGCTGATGCCCTTGGCATCTCGGGTCAGGATCTGGTTCTCCACCTCGTTAATGGTGCGGGCGATGGTGGTGAGGAGCTGCTCCCAGCCCACACGCACATGCTGAGAGGAAGAGTGAGGAGAATACAGGATTAGAATCTGAAGACTGTACAGGGGGGTAGGGGGAGAGCGAGGGCGGGTGGGGGGGGTGAGAGCCCAGCGGCAGTACCTCCATGGTGTAGTTGGTGTGCTTGTTGTCGAAGATGAGGGACTCCTGGCTGAGCTGGTGGTCTCCCTCCAGTTTGTCAATGTTACACTTGTAGTTGATGATGTTCTGCTCGTACTGCTTCAGGTTGCTCATCTGTTCCTCCAGGGAGCCGGCGATGTCCACAGACACATGGCTGATCTCCTACAGGAGGAGAGATGGGCTGTGTTAGAGTACAGTGACAGTTCATCACCATTCATTCATCTGATTTGATTTATTCAGCCAGAATAGCCACTGTTTCCATAGAATCAAACAAAACATACACATCACATAAAAGTTGTGTTAATACCAGGATTCGTTGACTTTGTCTTGAGAGGATACGCTTCAACACTTATAAAACATATTTGGAATAATCTAATGAAGATGTGAGTTTGAGTGGGAGCTGTGGGGTGTTAGTTACCTCCATCTTGGTCTGGATCCAGGGTCCAATGATGTTGGCCTGGGCAGCAAACTGGCGCCTCAGCCTCTCATTGGACTGCTGCCTGGCCACCTCCTCCTGCAGCATCTGGTCCCTGAGGGGCACCAGGTGTTTCACCTACACACAGTAGATAAAGGATAGGCAAAGTTGAAGTACAAAGTTGATGACTCGACCTGGAGCTTGATGACTCCCGATGGATCAGTGTTAAAGTTTGAATGATAACCAAAGAATCGTTGCATTGAGTTTGTTTAATGCTTGTCTTTAGAACGAGAGGGGTCATCTCACTCCCTGAGTAGACAATATCAAAGAGATGGACATGTACTCACAGCATCCCATTTGTTGGTGATGTCCTGGGGGGACAGAACGGTGTAGGGGTTGACTCCTGACAGCTTGATGCCGTAGGTCTGAGCGATCTTCACGATCTCATTCTGGATGCCCATGGTTGCAATGCGCTCCTTATCAGCCTCTGGTAGGGTGGCCTTGAACTGGTCATGGGCTGTGATCAGACTCTGAGGAGGAGGTGAAGAAGAGACGAAGAATAGGATGAGCCAGGAAAAGAGGCCTAGGCAAATGAAGAGGAGGAACACAGGGAATGATGAAGAGGAGAAAGTGAAGGAAGGAGGAATTATACATGGATGTAAAGAGGATGTCCCAAACTAGCTCCCCCCTCTCCCCCCTACCTATCATGCCCCCTCCCTCTCTCTGCCTCCTACCTGGATCTCCTCAATGCTGTGAACAATGAACATGTCCTGTAAGTCCTCCATGGCTCCATCCATCCAGTTGTTGAAGGGGGCTGCTCTCTTGGCAAACTCCAGGTACAGCTGGTCAATGGTCTCCCACAGCTTCTCCACACGCTGAAAAACACACATAAGCCAGTCTGTGTTATCACCTGGGAATTGAGGTCATCCCAGACTTGTATGGAGATCTGAAGCCTATTTACTGTAAGTAGCGTAGGTTATATAGAGGGTAGGAAGGCACAGTGTTGTGGGGGTTAGAAATAGGGTCATGTATGTCTGTCTCCAGGGTACCTCCAGTGAGTCTCTCCTCTTCTGGGTCAGAGTGCCCAGGTTGTCCCACTGGTCACAAATGCCCTGGCAGCGGGCATTGATGGTGACAGCATCATGATAGTCCAGCTCACTAGGACATGAAGAATATGAGATTGGAGCTAGCATCCCCTCTGAGTCATTTCAGACCAAAAGAGGAAGGGAGATTTTCTTCCTTTTCTCACTCTCTCATTCTCCCCATCTTTATCATTCGATCAGTCTCTCTTTCAGTCTCTGTTACTCTCTCTGCCTGTCTCTCCTTTCCCCCCTCTCTCTCCTTACTTGAGCTCCTGGGCGATGGCAGCAATCTGCTCCACTCTGTCCTGGTGGGCGGCCAGGTCGCTCTCAAACGCCTCGTGCTTCCTCATCAGGGCACGGATCTCCATCAGAGAGGCAGACTCATAGTCCTTCATGGACAGCAGCTCCACCTTACCTGAAGGCCACAGAGACACACACTGACTAAAACGCAAGTACAAATCCATTACATCTACTACACAAAGTTCAGAGCAGGGTTTTTACAACCTTCTTAACAAACACAAACCCTCCACTTGATTTTAGATCATTGAGAGTCTCCCTTCCGCCGTTTCTATCCCCATCTCCCATACCTGAGGTCCAGGACTCGTGCAGAGAACACTTCTGCTTGAACTTCTCAGCCAGGTGGTCCAGTCTCTCCAGGCGGCGGATCTCAGTGAGCAGCCACTCCTCATAACCCTTCTCTACCTGCTCCAGACCCTTCCAGGCATTGGCAATGTCCTGAGGGGAGACGAGTCCAAGACAAACCAGGGGCTCAGTGAATGAGAACATGACAGACTAGACCAGATGACGGTAATGAGAGTAAAAGTCAGAGTCAATGGGAGGGGTGGCTGTGGGGGACGTACCGACACCATCTTGCCCTCAGAAGGCATGAAGGCGGGCCTGTTGCTCAGCCTCAGCTTGGTCTGCAGGGTGTTGAAGTTGATCTCCAGCTGACACTTCTCCTGCACCTTGGGAGGCTTGTGGACACGACGGTAGTCACGGAAGTCCTCCAGCTTCTGCTGCATGGCGCGCATGGTCTGCTCCGCCACACGGTTCTCCAGCCAGGGGATGGTGCGACGGATCCACTCCAGCAGCTAAGGGGAGAGGGTAGTATAAAGACTGAAGCCATCTTAACACAGAGTATTTGGAATGGACCAAGGTCAATCTAAAGGGTGCCCACCCACCTCACTGGCCAGCTTCTCATACTCCTCCATGAGCTTCTCGTTCTCCTGGTTGACAGCCAGCACCTTGCAGATCCTATTGGCAGCTGTCTCGGCCTATGACACAAGAACAGAGGTCAGGGAGGATGTCCAGGCTGGATGTCTAAGGGGAAAGGCTATGTAGAATGGTGGTCAGTAGGGAAACCTCACCTGCTCTGCTCCAGCAAAGGCATGATAGAAGCAGGACACATAGGTCATGATGGCTTTCTCATCGGGCTTTGGGGTGTTCACAATATCTGAAATGGAAAGAAAAAGTCAAAATGATTGCCATAGATATCCAGAGAAATCATTTGTTCCTCATTTTGGTTCAGACAATATGAGCGCTTATGAAAATGTGTGCTTTTTTTTCAGTAGCTAAGCACCATCTTAATAATGCTATATCTTTGATTTTTGGAGTCCTGTAAGAAAGGTTGTTCACCTTCTGCATCCAACATCTTGGGGATGTCCAGGTACTTCTCTGCCACCTCGAAGGCCGTGTTGAGGTTACCCATGGGGTCATCCTACAGACGCACACACAAGACATGACTCGGTGAGTAAGAGGCTACAGACTAGTACCAGTTGGAGCAGACAGGATGCACTCCTAGCCATGCTGAACTATGTAGGTAGCTCTCTTTACATTCACCATGAGAGAAATATTGTTTGAACCATGGTTTGTTCAAAAGAAGACGTTGTATCATTGTACTCCCAGACGAAAGCCATGCTGCCGAAACGTGTCAGAGTTTTCACATTTCTGTTCCATTGAACATAATAATTGTAATAATAAGCTGTTTAATTATATGAATAGTGTCTTGGTCCTTGTATTTTTTTATGACATTTAAAGATAATAATAGAACTAAGATATTGAATTAGTTATCATCATAGTCCACCAATTCACATCACTTCTGAAGCCACTCCATGCATTATTGCTATTTTAGTCATTTTATCCTTAAGAAGATGATGCTGGATCATTTTAAGGTCTTTTTTTTAGTGTCAATTCATATAAAACATGCACTGTTTTCAAGAATAGAAAACTGAACCAACTCGAACAGGTATTCGATTGTTACTTCAAACCAGTGCTTTAACAGAATCGGTCTGTCAGTAATGTTAGCCACAGCACAGTTCAGTTCTCTATGCCAGTTCCTCCATCCTCACCACTGATCATTTACAGAACAAAGAGCCTTTAGAAGAATCAAAAATACCAAGAAATACATTACAAAGATTCAGAGTAGACTATGGGCGTGAACAATGGTGTGGGCTGTTTGAGTGATGTTTGTGTGGGCAAATGGAGAGACTGGCTGAGTGTGGACCAGGGAGGTGTGGACCAATCATGCTGGGATGTGGGTGGGAAGAGTGACAGCACCTTGCGCAGTTTGGAGTAGTCAATGAGGTCAGGTCTGTGTCTGTGGATGAGGGCACACAGTGCCAGGCCATCCTTCCAGCTGAGACACAGACCCAGGGAGAGAGATAGATGGAAGGAATGATATACAAATCAATCAAAGATGAAAAGGAGGAAAAAAGAGATGAATGCATAGTATCTGTGAAAAAGAGGTAAACACAGGATGTGTGAAGCAGAGAAAAGGAGAAAACGTGAAAGTGTAACAGCGAAACAATGAGATGACGAATGGGAGAATCTCCTGTAACAACTTTGCAGATTGAGATCATTCAGGATTTAAACCATGGCTAAAACACATATCAGTGACTACAGAACGTATGTGATATGTTGTGATATGTTGTGATATGTTGTGATATGTTGTGAGCCAGCTATGTGACCAGAACAGGGTAGTGGCTGCTCACCTGATGTGGAAGTTCTGCACATTGACATTCCTGTAGGGGGCAGTCTTCCTCTGGCACCACAGCAACAGACCCTCCTTCGCAGAGGTCTCTGAACACACACAATGACATTAGGTAGGAATTTGTTTTTTTAAAAGCCCTTTATAGCATAGAAATAACCCTAACCATGAGAAATGCCTATTACATATGTTGCATATATGAATGAGGAATTGTAAGGTGCTCTGAGAGGGTTTTGCTGTGTGTCTTTGAAGAGTTCTCACCCTCTACAGAGATGTCCTGGATGGCGAAACGCAGAATGATGGTCCAGATCATCCCCAGGGTCATCTTCACATTACCATCCACAATCTCTGCCGAGGTCAAGGGTCAGTTAGATCGGAGGATAGAGACATAAGATGTGAAAATACATTTACTGGAAGTAGATGAGTAATATGAGAAGATAAGAGTTTCTCACCCTCAGCACCGATGGACACCAGCTTGACTCCCTTGCTGCAGATGAAATCCAGGGCCTTGTTCACGTTGGCGATTCTGTGGAAACGCATTTTGCCTTTGTCTGGCTTGGGAAGCCTTTCACCTGCACATTCACAAACACACACAACAAGGACACGCTAGTTAGCATTCATGTAAGTGAATGGAAATTGTGAAATGAAGTTAGAATTTTACCATGCAGAAAAGAGTGAAACGTCAATGTTCAACAGCATTTGAGCCCTCTGCCTGTGGTGCCCAACTACCTGAGATGACCTCCAACAGCAACATGAGTTTGAGTCCATTCCTGAAGTCCTCCTCAATGTTCTCAATCTGTGTGCCCGCTTTACGCAGGTGAGAGTTGCACCAGGCGGTGAAGGTCTAAGAGAGAGAGAGACAGAGAGAGTGTGTTAGAATACTGCATAAAAATTTAGCCAAAATGCATTATGCTTCACTTATGAAACACCTTTAACAGGATAGCGCAATGTGTCTTTTCAGGGTTTATGGGTCAATATATCTAGGTTACTACTGGATCCTACTTTGGTTACTTCAAATTCTAGAAAAATAATCAACTTGAAACCTGCAGTACACAATGATCTCATACAAATTAGACATAATCTGTCATAACCAATGTAGACTGTGTATAACAGCTTGTGCAAAAAAATATTTTAGCATCATCATGAATGTTATTACACAAAGACATAGGGTAAACTATGCTGCATAAAATTCAAGATAGTTGGGAACATATTTTCAATGTCCCAATACCATGGCATCAGGTTTATGAACTGATATACAAAACAGCATCAATTCGTTATTTTCAATTGAAGCTATTATATAAAATTCTCGCTATAAAAAGAATGCTCAGTATATGGGGCATTGGACCGTCAGAGCGGTGCAGACTCTGCCACGCAGAAACAGAATCAATAGAGCATCTCTTTTGGTACTGTCCATCGTTAGCTTAATAATGTCAGGGTGCGGTTGGACCTGCAAACTGTATTGTTGGGGGATTTGAAGGACCACAGTCAGTCAATAGGAAATATCATTGTGCTCTTGGGTAAATGTTTTATTTTTGGGGCAATTTCGGCATAAATGTTGCAGATGGGGAGGTTAAAGTCCCTAGAGAGAGACCATGGTAGAATGGAGGGATGTATTGAAAGAGGAAATGGTAGAATGACGATTTACTGGGAAAGATGTGTTGATCTGCGGCTGTCTGAAGGTTGGAATAAATACATACACACATGCACAGTATGAATGTTTGAGGTCCTCCAATCAGGTGTGAGGGGTATGTGATTATTCTATGTTTTGCGTTTAGTTATTCATGTTTCGTTTTCGCGCTGGTACTGGTGGTTATGGGTACGCTCGCTACCATACAAGTCCGGGCGTCGGGCGGTGCTTGGTCCTTCTCGCTTTTGGAAAATCCATTTGGGCCGGGGGCGGGGGCTTCGCCCTGCGGTGTCTCGGGGTGAGCCCACCCACTGACCAGAGCACCCACTGATGGGAGAGGCCATTCGTATTGTCTTGTATTGTTGTTGAATAATAAAAATAATTAACAGACAAAAAAGCATAGGGTAAATGATACTGTATGCCCATTCATTTATGAGTATGGTATTTACCTATTTTCTAAGACTGTGAAATAGCTTTTACACATCATTTTGAAGAGTACATAGTAATGGCTGCTATTTTGAACACATGACAATGTGATGCAGAAGCTGCTGCGGCAATACAAGGCAGAGAAAGCAGAGTCTGCGGGAAGGACTGAACCTAGAGTGAAGCTGTTGGAAGTTGCGAAGATCAATTTGTTTGTATTTATCGATGGGCTTAAGAAATAGATAAAAACACAGCATGTGCTGTTTTCCATAAACTGGAGCAGAGTGAGAGATCATGAGAGGGAAAGAGAGGGCGAAATGGAGAGAGACTGAAGAATGCTCAGGCCCAATGTAATTTGATTTAAGGCTGGAAGAGGAGACTCTTCCGCAGCAGGTGTCTAAACCTCAAATCACCCCCTACTGCCATAGATGCCCAATTTTAGACCGGGTTGGGGGAGGGGGGCGAAGGAGGAGCAGGGAGGCGGAGGAGTGGGTGAAGGAGGCTATATCGGGTAGCCAGGGGACAGCTGACAGCACAGCATTCCTGCAGGAGACACTCTCAGCCAACAGTGTGGGGAAAGGGAAAGCTGGGAAAAAGAGAGAGGGTGATCTTTTTGAACAACTCTCCATGTTAGCTTTTCAGTAACACCTTTATCCTGCCCACTGGTGATTTGGGATGGGATAATACAATTATTAACCATTTATCCTTTTTCATCAGTGAAAGGCAGTGACCACTCTTGCAAAACCACTTTATTACCAGTGAATTAATGAAAATGAAATACCTTAATGTGTTAAACTGATACTTAAGGATGATAGACCAATTCATAATGATCATCATAATGTTTAATTGACTTGTAAAATGAATATCAAAATGCCCAAGAACTCTGGAAAGAATGATAACATGGAATGGATCTCTTGTGTATGACACAGGTAAAGAAAACATCAGCAAGAATTGAGGAAATGAACAAGAAACAGACTTGGACAAAAGAGGCATTCATACTGCTATAACAATGACCTATCCCTACCTACTAGACTAATGCATAACCAGTGTTGAACTACAACTTTACTGAGTAGTGTTCTGAGCTAGCTGGGGGTAATTCATGTCCAAATATCTATTGCACATAAAGCCAGAATAACAAACAAGGCCTTACTACAAAATCCATGTCTCAATGACCTGTTTCTAAAGCTGAACCAATAACATTACATTAACTCACATAACACAAATTCCCATACCGGCATACCACACCACACCATTCAGTAATTGAGCAACTCTTTCTCTAGCTGAGAGTTACTGTACCAAGCCATGATTATATTACTATCACTTGTATTAATGCTAAGGTGTTAATCTAACTTCCAGGCTAAACCATCCTTCAGAAAAATGCTAAACTGAGCATTGAAGCAAAGAAACTCCACCTGAAACGATGCTTGTTGCCGTCACTGAGGGAAAAATACAGTGGCTATCATTGTGGAGCCCTGTTGGTAATATAGCAGGTCTGGGGCTATAGTCCTGCCATGTCTTCCTTCCAAGTCTCGTTCATCACTTGAATGTGAGGAAGCCTGGGAAACGAGGCTAGGTTTAAGGCCAGTGAGAGACTGTGGCCCTTAGCCTGGCACTCCCAGGGAGTTGTGAGAGACTGTGGCCCTTAGCCTGGCACTCCCAGGGAGTTGTGAGAGACTGTGGCCCTTAGCCTGGCACTCCCATTCAGGGGGCTGTGAGAAACTGTGGCCCTGGGCCTGGCACTCCAAGGGGCTGGGCTGGCACTGGGATTAGCACCCTCCACAGGCATGCAGGCCTGAGTCACTGGGTCATCTGGCAGGAGCCCACCTGCTCTCTACTAACCATTGTTGTTAGTGGGGGCATTTCCATGAGCACTAACATGTGAAGTTCATAGGAGCATGTCAAATGTGGTGTCAAATGAAAGCTAGGAGTCCATATTGTTGAGAAATTAAGGCATATATACATTTTCCAACAATTTTCCATCCAAAGAATTTGGAATAAGCAAAGGCTTTGATTTCTGGTCAACAGAAGGAAAAGGGGTCTTAGAAAACATCTACCAGAAAAAGTCTTAAAAGGTATTAGAAATACATCAAAACACAATAATGTTGAAGTAAAGACCCCTGACAACTAATGTCAACATTTATATTTATTTTTGCAGAAATCATTTGCCTTATGTAAATTTAAGAAATATAGCCTAGTGTCTTATCATTCTGTTACCAAAAACCCACATATCTTCAGGATATTTTCTAATTTCTCTCCCTCATGAGGGAGGATAGTGAAAGTTCACAGAAGTAACAAGGTAGACATACCAATTAGTTACAGTGTTTTTACTGATAACAATTATTATTATTATTATTATTATTATTATTATATATTTTTATTTTTTTAGGGGGTACTGATAACTGTTTGGTTTATGACGCATTAAGTGATTAAAACGCGTCATTCTGTTAGCAAATCGGTATTAGAATGACAAAAAAAAAATCTGTAACAGAATGACTGCAACTGAATTGGCTACAATGGGAATTCGTAGTAGTCTCAAACCACAGTTGGGTCACCTGCTACTGTCCTCCCTCCACTGGCATACTGTTATGTCCAGCTCATAACTGATTTATTTTGCTTTCTGTCGCGTGGTGGTCAAAGCAAGAGTGTGAAAACAGTCTGGACAACCCCTCCACTTAATGTCACCTCTCACGGCTCATACTGACACCTACCCTCTTTCCATTTACTGTAACAAACCCTCTGACCCACTGAGCACCGACTGACACCAGACATCCATGGACGTTGAAAAGTAGTTGTAAAGACTTGGTCTGCTCCGGACCAACCAAATTTGGTCTTGTTTGGGGAAGGAGCTCATTAGAATAATAGCAAGTGTGTAAAATAATACTCAAACATACGAAGAAGGATATAAAACATTTCTACCTTTGTGTACCTATTCAGGATCCATCACCATGAAGAGAATGAGATTCATAATTATGCATTTCTGTATAGTACAGATCAGGGACCCATGATGTAATTCCTTTACCATAATTCCGTCACCGGATGTAAATCCACTTCACCTACTGTAGTTCAATAACCATAATATGTTTGTTTCAAACTCAAGGTGTCATGTCATAGCTGACACCTCCATTCTTTCTGCAGACATCTTTGAATCTTAATTCGGTGTAGATATTTAACCAAGTTTTGGTCAAACGTGGTCACATAAAAACTAAGGTAGATTTCACCGTCATTCTGTTACCAAACTTTACATCTGCACTGTTCTTCGAGTAAATTTGTTTTTGTACAATTTTCAGTGGAAATTGTTAAAAGTAGTCCTTGTGCATAGAGTTGCATGGTTTGTTTAACTTTGCAATCAATCGTTTTTGTTTGGTATACTTTTAAAGTTCAAAATCGGAGTCTCAGCGTCATTCTGTTACTGTGGAATTACCCTGGGAAAGAATATGGGACCTGCACCCTTAACACAGTGGGATGGCACAAGCAAGCCTGAGGGCTTAGACAGAGGAAACAGGCAGGCATCTGCACGTGGACACACAAACGTGTGCACACACAAAGAAAACATGAGCACACACAAACACTCATGAATATCTACAACACACAACATAGACTCAACATAGACTCATACACATGATGTTGTTTAGGTCTACTGTACACACACACACACACACACCTAAAATTGATTTCCATTCAAAATCATATTTTCCCTAACCCTAACTCTTACCCTAAACCTAACCCCTAGACCTAAACCCTAACCCTAACAGCTAGCCTTTTTCCTCGTGGGGACGTGGGAAATGCCCACGAAG